TTTCAGTTTGGACTACCTAATTAAATGCTATTAATATTATGTTCAACATAACTACAATCTACATAATTCATATTAAATATTTTTAGATGAATTATAAAATTTAAATGCGTATACAACCTACACATTACATTTAATTAATCCAAGTTAATTTGCACTCTGAATATTTAATACATAAAAGTATTAACAAATTCCATGCAAATATATATATTTGTGACTTTTTTCCTGTTTTTTTTCTTCCTACAATCAAACTGAGCACTATGCGTTTATGTTATGAGTGTTGTTTGTTTTTTAATTGTGTTTTTTTCTGTTACCAAGTTGGTACATTTAAAAAAAGATTTACCGTGGCGAAGCAGGGTATGCAGCTAGTTCTTATATAACACTTCGGGGATGGCAACTCGGGATATTGACAAGATTTTTAATCAGTTTTTAAATACATGCCCGGTTCAATTTAGTGAAAGATAGAAGTAAACTTAGAGCTAAAAAAGTGGATATGTAGCCTACCAAATTCAAGTACGGTCATAACTTAAAGTGCAGGTGTAGCAAACAAGCTGCATTGATATTTGAATGGTGGATATTTATTACTATTTTAAAAATGTCCATTAAGCCAGTCTCAGTCATGTTGTCAGATTCGAATACGAAATTTATTTCAATGAGTAGAACAAGGCACGTTAAAGTAAAATGGGTATTTTATTTCTCAAATAAAAAAAAAACTTGCACTCATCAAGTTTCAACACCTAGCCTACAGTTAGAAATAAGCCAACAAACATACCAGAGTAAGGTAGCCATGAGCCACTCAGTTTGGATGGAGCCATCTAACAACTGGCTTCATACAACACTTTCTTCAGGTTGCTCAAAGGCTGATATGTTTGAACAACAAACAAGTGTAAACAAAATTGGCTGCACTTCATTTTATTTTTGAAATATTTGAATATCAAACTAGAGGTGAAGTGTGTCAGGACTAGATGCTTCATCCCACTTCAAATGGTAGACAATTACATTCATACAAAAACCATATATTGCATTACAATTTGAACATCTTAAAGATATCAGTTCTTTTTCAGCAAATAAATAAAACATTCAAATTCAAAAGCCAAATATATTCTACTAACTCTGGTCCAATTTATCTTATTCAAATTAGGACAAAGTATTTTAAATGCCTCTTTTAATGCTTATTTGAACAATTATATTCATTTAAAAAAATTACTCCTCATTTTGCAACCAGCTGAAAATGTAAAACATTTAAATTTTATGAAAAATATCACCAATTTACAAAAATTTTTTATATAAAATAAAACAGATTGGAAATTTGAATTATAATCTTCATTGTTTTTTAGAGACAAAAACAAGTGAAAATCAAATGACAGTAAAACAAAATTCATAACCAAGTCTGCTTATCATTGAAGTTAAGAGTGGACATTGCATGTTACAAATAGCACATGGCAGGTATTTGAAATCAAACAGCAAATAAATTATTCCCTTGTATTCCCACAGCTCAATGCTTGACAATTTTAGAGATAAAAGGCACACTGTTTCTTGTGCACGCCATTCATTTCATATTACATTTGACCAATAGTTTTCATCCACACAGCTGTTTCAAAAAATAATATTCTTTAATTAATGCTACAATTTTATATATACTGGTATCTTGGTCTGGAAAAAGCCATTTGAAATATCTTGTAATGAAAGGACCTTTTGGTTTTGATACCACTGGACTAAATTGGTTTAACGTAGACATTCAAGCACATAAAAACATTTAAAAATGTTTTACAAGCCTAGTATAATGTTTGAGCATACTTTTGCAAGTTTGTACAAAGTATTATGTTATGATTGTACGTACCATGCATTGCTTCTACTGACAGATTAAAACTTCGTAACCCAGATACAGATAGACCATAAAACAAAGTCAGCAATTATTCCTTTCCCCTAATATCAAGCATGAGCCAACAACTTTTCAAGCATTATATCAAATGCAAAAACATTTCAAAACAAACAGTCACAGCACACGTAATTTTTCCTTGTGCACGTAAGCAAAGTGCATGATCATTCTAGCTATCCAGCTATAATAGTTGACACAACAAAGTAGCCTCCAATGTTTGAAAAATGAACAAATATGTGTAGAAATGGGAGAAATAAAAACAGTGATTGTTGTCATTGCTAGGTTCTGTGTAATGAATAAAACTTTCTTTTAAGGAATGATTTATTTCATCAAATTTTGATGACAGGGTGAATAAACTAGCATAGTGCGATGCTAGTAGCCATTTCAACAACCACATCCATTTCAACAACCACATCCATATCAACTAGCACACCCAACCCCCTGCCAACCCAGTAGTAGACCGAAAGAAACTTGGACATTTGAATGCCAAATTGATCAACAGAAAACACTCTCTAAAACTTGTAATGTTTCTCCTCAAGAAATTCTCTCCAGACAACAATCATCAGGGTTATAAACCAGTGGAAACCTTGGAGCACATCTCTTTACTCAGGTTTATAAACCAGTGGAAACCTTGGAGCACATCTCTTTACTCAGGTTTATAAACCAGTGGAAACCTTGGAGCACATCTCTTTACTCAGGTTTATAAACCAGTGGAAACCTTGGAGCACATCTCTTTACTTTGTTATCACCCTGTCTTAGCAGAGCAAAGAGAAGATACAAGTTGACAGTACTTCATTAGCTGCTGACTAAATAAATAGATAGTCAACAGTTTTATTATTACACATTCAGACTATTTGACTTGTTCCAATGTACAATTGTTTACTTTGGCTAACAATAGAGGAAATCAAGACTGTGGCTATTTCCACCAATGGACTTAAGGAAATATAAACACTGTTAAAAAATTATATTAATGCAATTGCATTATAAACAACAACAACAAAAAAAAAACCTATCCAAAACCCTAATTGGTTCAGAAACCTTGATAGCCACTATCTATACTATTGATTCATGTTGATGAGAGTTTTTTTTTTATGGAGTTACTTCTTTCATGGCATACTCTGTACATATACATTGGATGTTTGAAAAAAAAAACAAAAAAAAAAACAACTTACATATTTGATCCAAATTTCGATTTCCTATGCAGGTCTCATGTACAAGCCACCATCAACATGTATGTATATCACAAATGTAAATTTCTAAGCCTATTAGATGAACCCTGAGTGTACATCACTTATTTCCTACACAAAAATTGTACTCTCCATTCAAGCCACAATTGTCATAGCAAATATTTAAGAGGGTAGGGAGGATGGGGAGGGTGGGGGCACATGGGAAGGGTGGGGAGGGTAGGGAGGATGGGGACACATGGGAAGCAATAACATTGACCAAATCATTTTAAGATCAACACTACCCAAACAATGGCTGGTCAGAAATTTAAAAGCAATCATAACAAAAAAACAAAGATCTACTTTCTTATACATGTCATATGTAGAGTTGATGTGGGCTAGAAGCTCCCATGTTGGCACCCACCTCAGCAAGAGAAGTAAACATTTCTATTTGTGCTTCATCAACTCCCATCAGATTTACTCACTAATCAATGTCTAACAGCCTACCTACAGTTCTGGCCAGTTTTAAAATCATGATGAAAAGGCTCAAGTAACTCATCTAAAATTTGTTTTTGCCAGCAACCTAATATGTCCTGCATAAACATGCACCACAAATGTGTGCATTTATTTACCCCCCCCCTCAGTTGTAGTTTAAAACGGATCAAAGAACAGGGCTGCCTACCCCCAAAAGCATTTCAGTAACAAAAGCATTGAATTTCTGATCGGCTCCTTTCTGTAACTTTCTAATATAATTTTTTTACCTACCTTGGAGAAATTTCTGGTATGCTAAAAATCAAAGAATACTGACAATTAAAAAATAAAGCCAAATTCTGAATGTAATATTTTATTTGACCCCAGGAAAATTGTATTAAGAACTAAGCTCACATTATCTTTGGTGGTTGGAGCATTTGACTGCTACACTTTTTACACAAAAAAAAAAGATTCAGAGAAGTTTAATCAAAATATTGTCTATGAATGACCAGTCTTTCAATAAATTCATGAAGTCAATTCAAGTTTACAACATACTCCTAACAACCCACGCCTAGGGGAAAGAGTAGTTATGGAAGTGTTTCCTTTAGATTTGCCTTAAGAAACTTTGGAGGTTTAACAACAACAAAATTAATTTTAACTAGCAATAATTTAGATTTTTTTTTAACGGAAGGCAAATGCGTAACCGATCATGCTGCATAATCGTCAAAATAATAAAATTACGGGCAGAAGCATAAGTAGGCAGACATGAGTCACAGGACTGACCAGCTGGATGTTGAACAACAAACTGGTGAGTCACAGGACTGACCAACTGGATGTTGAACAACAAACTGGTGAGTCACAGGATTGACCAGCTGGATGTTGAACAACAAACTGTTGAGCATTGAGCTGTGCCTACAAGGACATAAACAAATGGGGCAGTGTTTGTGATCAGTGTAGACAGTCACAGCTTTCTCTAAGCAGTACATCTCATGTTCTCAATGGCAAGACAAAGTTAGTGGCACATCATGGAGAGGTGAGCACACAAACAGTTCAAAAATAAAATACTTAAAAAAAACTTTTTAAAAAACCACGTTTTTCTTGTGGACTAAAAAGTAGAAAATAACTATTTACATACATTTGATGACAAAAAGCGTGGGTACGTTCACCATCAAATTTCCCGACCCATCTGCCCGACCCACGTTTTTTGTCATCAAATGTATGTAAATAGTTATTTTCTACTTTTTAGTCCACAAGAAAAACGTGGTTTTTTAAAAAGTTTTTTTTAAGTATTTTATTTTCTCCTTTTTAGTCCGTTGCTACACATGAAAAACGTGGTTTTTAAAAAAGTGTTTATAAATACACGGACTAAAAATCTTGAGCGACCAGGATTCGAACCTGGGTTGTCGCGGCCACAACGCGAAGTACTAACCACTATACGATCACGGCCAGCGCGCTCACATCGATTGGGGCCGAAGTAACTGTGTCAATAGGCCTCAAGTGTTGTCGGTATCTTTAGAAATCATGTCCTCAATTTTATGGTCCTTGGGGCGTAATTAAATTAAGCTAATTACGGTCACTAATTGCTAGTTTTTATGATTGCATCTGAAATTGTTAGGCGAAAGTAGAATGCATGCCAAATTTCAGGTCTCTAGAGCAATCAGAAGTGGGCTAATTTTCGATGTCAATTTTAACAACAAACATCCAAACAAACAAACGCGAAGCTGAGTTAAGAAAAACGTTTTAAGAATTGATAAACCACCCACTGTAAACAAGCAGCACTCCTCAAACATACAGCCACTGTCTAGTTGACACATTTAGACAGAAAAAAATAGTGCAACCAATTTTCAGACATTGATTTTAGAAACCAGCATTTAGTCAATGTTTAGTGAAGCAGCAAGCACACAAGACATTCACACCCCAGTAGGCAGCCTAACATCATCTCTAGGCACAAGACATTCACACATCTGCCCACACCCCAGTAGGCAGCCTAACATCATCTCTAGGCACAAGACATTCACACATCTGCCCACACCCCAGTAGGCAGCCTAACATCATCTCTAGGCACAAGACATTCACACATCTGCCCACACCCCAGTAGGCAGCCTAAGATCATCTCTAGCTACGAAAGCCCTTGAAAGTGGGAATCAGACCTGGCAATGTTATGATCAATGACAGGTCAGCTTGTGATGTCATCACCAGTTGCTCCTCACCACAATGTTTCTCATTCTATGCAAATACTAATGCAGCAATCTCAACATTTTTTAATGACATCAAATCTCTGAAATAGTACATCAATTTGTATTTGAAGGCTAGACCAGAAATGCTGGAGCGCTTAAGTCAGCACATGTCTTTGATAAAAGCACTGAGAAAATGAACTTGGACATCAAGTTATTTCTCTACTTCTTCCAATGTCATATATGGAGAATCTAGGAAAAGGAGAAAAAAAAACTGCTCATCTAGGCCCTGCATTCAGAGCTAATCAATTAATTGACTGACACCAAAACATTATGTCACTATACATTTAGTTTCTTCTTACCATTAACTATAAAATGTTAACTAACTACAACTTACCTTTTTTCCTAACATCAACCGCAGACCACCCTAAAAGAAAGAAAACTCATTAAATCAGGGTATTTTTTTTTTCAATATAAGAGGCATACTGGCAGTGTCATGTCATCTGCATGACGTTACCCATGTATTGTGATACCATGAGGCAGAGGTGTAGCTACCCTTCCCGGCGCACGGGGACAAACTTTTTGATTTGCACCCCCCCAAGATTTTGATTTGCATGCCCCTCAGCCTTTCAATTTATTTTTCCAACCCATTTTGGCGCCCCCTAAGGTTGGTGGCGCCCGGGGACATGTCCCCCCCCCCCCCCGCTACGCTACTGCCATGAGGTACCCATGTATTGTGTGATACCATGAGGTACCCATGTATTGTGTGATACCATGAGGTACCCATGTATTGTGTGATACCATGAGGTACCCATGTATTGTGTGATACCATGAGGTACCCATGTATTGTGTGATACCATGAGGTACCCATGTATTGTGTGATACCATGAGGTACCCATTTATTGTGTGCTACCCTCTGAAAAAAAATGCTACCCATATATTTCAAACATAGAATGTATTGAGTGAGATGACTTACTTTTGTGTAGAAATTGACAGATTTCACTTGCCTTCCCATCATGAGTGGTGCTGGGGGGAAGAAATGCTAATTTCCCACAACCCTTACTTGCAACTATTTTCAGTCCATAAACAACAGTCAAGGAGTGTGGGGTGCTGGCCTGCTCCACCACTTGGGTACCTGCTAGTGTCAAACCAGACCCCTGGGGGAGGGGGGGTGGTGGGTGGTTAGGTGAGAAGACCACTGCCACAGAATTGGTTACACTAGTGACACCAGTCCGCAATGATTGCTGGACATGGCCTAAGGAGTTACAATTGATGGATGACGGTGGATTAGACACCCTTGTGATGGATGATAGTGGATTAGATATCCTAGTGGATGCTTCAGTTGCTTTCACAGACATCTCAATGGAACTCCCTTCAACAGAGTCCATTCTAGCTGAACAAAATTGTTTACTATCCAAGGAATTATTTTGAAGAAAATCTTGAGTAGAAAGGCCAGTGGGAATAATGAGACCATTTGTGTGTCCTGCTAACTGTGTACAAACTGAGTCAGCACAAGTCAAAAGCTTGGAAGCCACCTGAGAAATCTGTGGGGGACACTCACTTTTTGGCTCAATGCTCAAATCATAGCCAAAGGTTATTCCAAGGTTTGGAGGGGAAGTGCCAAACCTTTTATCCAAGAAAATAACAGACTTAAGTTTTTTGTCAGAGGTGGTCAGTTTCTGTCCCATCACTTCTTGACCAGAGGTGGTCAGTTTCTGACCCATCACTTCTTGACCAGAGGTGGTCAGTTTCTGACCCAGCACTTCTTGACCAGAGGTGGTCAGTTTCTGACCCATCACTTCTTGACCAGAGGTGGTCAGTTTCTGACCCATCACTTCTTGACCAGAGGTGGTCAGTTTCTGACCCATCACTTCTTGACCAGAGGTGGCCAGTTTCTGACCCATCACTTCTTGACCAGAGGTGGTCAGTTTCTGACCCATCACTTCTTGACCAGAGGTGGTCAGTTTCTGACCCGCAGAAGAAAGACAAGCACTGAGAAAAATATCCGCTTCCGCTGGCAAATTACTTGTGTTATTGCAGTGAGAGGTGTGCCGGCCTGAAGTTAAGCCATCCCCAGCAGTGGCAGACAAGTTGCAGTTGCTGACTGGAGGCAGCTCTAGTGTAGTATTGCTCCCAGCTTCCTGCCTGGGGTTTGACAATTCAGTATCTCGCAAGAAAATTTCTTGACTTCCACTTTTCTGGCGATTCCGATGTATGATGCTGTTTTTTTCAACTTGTGTCTGTTCTTCAGGACTAGAGCCTATAGAATGCCTGCGCTCACGAGGACTACCTTTCCATACAGTGGCTTTTCTTTCAGGGGTACTTGCCAGGTTTGTCTGACAGGTAACTTGGGCGCCCGGTGTGGTGGTGACGCTGCTGGTGACGCTGCTGTTGTGTGAACCACTGGCCACGCCAGACTCTGAGCTAGGACTATCATACTTGCGTGGTGCTGACACCATGGTGGCGTAAGAAATAGGATACACAGGTGAGCTCTGTGTTCTGTGAGTGACTGGCAGAGATTTGACAGACTCTCTATCACTGTCATACAAGGTTTTATTATCTGCTAAGTCAGTTGAAATGTCCCCACATGAGTTGCGTCGAGCTTCTAGCCGAGGACCCGACAAAACTGGAAAAGAAGATGGGCTCAGGTCTCTATTGGACTGGCCGGTGATATGTAAAGTGTTGGTGGCTGTGTTGGACACTGTACTGCTTGTTGGCGGTGACATACTTGGTCGTGGGTGTGTATGGTTGCGAGGCCCAGCGTTTGCTCTGTAGGAGGGAAAATGATTGCTACAGTTCAATCCTTTTAAACCAAGGCGCCGAGTTTTTTTCTTTCTCACTTCTGTAAATGATTCCTCTCTTTTAAGTTCCAGACCAATATCTAGGTGAACTTTTTCACCTGAATTGGACATATTGGATATGTGTTTTTCTTGGCTGTGTTCAGGACATGCATGGAGCCGTGTATTTAGGCCCAGCTTTCCACAACCATCACCAAGTCCAAAATTTGTTTGAACTTGGTGAGTCTCACTGCTGTCAGTTGCCTGCACCATGTCCTCATGCTTAGCTTTCAACTGGTCTTTACAAGTAACCTCCATTGAGTCAGCTACAAGTCCATCTAGTGGTCTGAATACAACATTACCCAGTGTCAAGTTCCTTGAAATTAGAGCTGACTCCTCAAGCACATCTGGAGATAAAGAGAAAGTTTGAGACTCACCCCTAGCATACAGTCCTCATTCCTAATTTCACACCCCAAGCATACAGTGCTCATTCCTAATTTCACACCCCTAGCATACAGTGCTCATTCCTAATTTCACACCCCAAGCATACAGTGCTCATTCCTAATTTCACACCACAAGCATACAGTGCTCATTCCTAATTTCACACCACAAGCATACAGTGCTAATTCTTAATTTCACATTCCAATCTTAGTGCTAATTCCTTCTCCCTTAACACACCACCAGTCAAACACCTTCTCCCCTAACACACCACCAGTCAAACACCTTCTCCCCTAACACACCACCAGTCAAACACCTTCTCCCTTAACACACCACCAGTCAAACAAGAATGTACTACCTGCAGGCCTTCTCTCCTTAAAATGACCATTCATTAGTTTTTTCTTCTCTCCTTTCTTTTTTGTAGCTTTGATTGTTTCTTTGCTTGACTTAGCACAGTCATCCCCAGTTATATATAACAAGAGTTCTTCCAGGGGTTTATTGCCTTTATAATCTTGATATTCATCTGCTTTTGGCCAGGCTGCTTTTTCTTTCCGATGTTTACGTCTTTCAGTGGCAGAGGCTCCATGTTGACTGGTTGTCAGGACAGGTTTGCTGGAGCTCAACAGACGCAGCTGGTGGTAGTTGGACAAGTCCTTGCTCTGGGGGTTGCCATTGACATCCAGTGTTTCATCATCTGAGGAGACATCAGAGATCACAACTAGCATTAGATTTGAGCTGATAAAAACATTAACAATACTATAGCTACTACACAATTTATCATCTATTTTTATTTTGCAAGGATGTCACTATAAGTTATAGTAATTTGTTGACACATTTTCTAGAGGTCCTAAGGTATATCAAAATTAAGAAGCTACTTCTAAAGTAAAAGTTCTAAGTGTTAAGTAGGTTACTCTATAATGTATCAAAAGGAATGTTAAAACTGCATCCATCCTTGCATGGCAGAAAAGCCATAACAAATTTAGACAAATTTTGTGAATTTCAGCAGAACAAAAGCAGAAAGCACATTTTAATACAACGTACTGTAATTTTATTTTTAACTACAAAATAAAAAACAACAAGCCCACCTCTTCCAGCCATCGGAATGTGCCCCCCCCCCCCCCCATTGTGGATGAATAGGGCAAAGTAGAAGTTATTCTCTAATTAAGACTGATACAATATATCCTCTAATTAAGACCAGATCTCATAGGCCTACAATTGACAATATATTCCCTTACTAAGACTAGTACACTATACTCTCTACTTGAAGCAGCACAATACCTAGGCTACATATTCTATCATATAGTTATTTAAAAACGAGTAAATAACTGATAAAGCATAACCTAACAAGCTGTTACAATCAAATAGCACAACACAGACCCACGCATGTGTTTGTGTTGGAACGTGGAGGTGTGCCTTGGTTGCCTTTTGGACCCTCAAATGTTAACTAGAAATGGTCAAGCAACAAGGTACATGGGGAGCAGGTTGGATGGATGGGGCGCATACAACACGGCCAAATGTCTGATGTCACGGCTCGTCGTGTCATATTGTTATATACTACGATACAGCACAATTTCTGCCAAGAGCTGGAGCGAATCAGTGCTTAGACCTAGAGTCTATATTCCTAATGGCGTATCATAGTCAAACCGATCGTTTGCCGCAGGTGTTTCTGTGTCACGAACCGGCGTTAGCCAATGACGTGCAATGGAACTACATAACAACTATAGATGTAAGGGGGGGGGGGGGGGCAGCTCAGTCTAATACATGACCCAATATAGCCTACTAATGAATTAAACTGCCGAATTTTACCATCAACTGATCGACTGCCACAACACCAAACAAAAGCGGCTAGTTATGACACAAGCCTAGGGTACCAGTAGGGCCGGGTTTAACTGTGTTAAATAGCTGGAGGCGAGTAGACCAACACTAGCCTAGTCATTGGTTCGGTACGCTAGTGTCCTTGAACTGCGTAGCACACAGACTACAAGGTCGGACGGCCATTGGCTAAGTTTTTGTACAAGTAGGCCCTATCAGCTACCACGATAAACCACCCAGTAGAGGGGTGGAAGGTTTCTTTTAAAAGCATTACTAATGAGGGGTGGGGAGTTTGTGCTTAACGGGTAGGATAATTTTACAATAATGGACGATGACAAAGGGGGCGGGGAGTGGGCAGATGTAGCTGTGTTGTTAAAGATCGGGTTATGGGTGTTGTTAATAAAGGGAGTGGAGAGTTTATTGGTGTTAATGAAGGGGGTGGAAAGGTTAGAGGTGTTAATGAAGGCGTTTGAAGCAGCTTACAATGGCATATAGAAGAGACTTTCACCTCTTACAGGTTGACTTCCTATCTTAGTCAGTACAAGAAACCAAGGCCGCCCGACTAGAGGCGGAAGGTTTCACCAAACGTGTAATAAACAAAGTGCTGATCTAGACATATGTAGAGCAACAACAGATCTAGACGTGTTTAGAGCAACAACTGATCTAGACGTGTGTAGAGCAACAACTGATCTAGACGTGTGTAGAGCAACAACTGATCTAGATCTAGACGTGTGTAGAGCAACAACTGATCTAGACGTGTTTAGAGCAACAACAGATCTAGACGTGTGTAGAGCAACAACTGATCTAGATCTAGACGTGTGTAGAGCAACAACTGATCTAGACGTGTGTAGAGCAACAACTGATCTAGATCTAGACGTGTGTAGAGCAACAACTGATCTAGATCTAGACGTGTGTTGAGCAACAACTGATCTAGATCTAGACGTGTGTAGAGCAACAACTGATCTAGACGTGTGTAGAGCAACAACTGATCTAGACGTGTGTAGAGCAACAACTGATCTAGACATGTGTAGAGCAACAACTGATCTAGATCTAGACGTGTGTAGAGCAACAACTGATCTAGACGTGTGTAGAGCAACAACTGATCTAGACGTGTGTAGAGCAACAACAGATCCCGGCGATGTATGACCTACATTTGCGAATATGCCACGTAGGCGGCGTTGGGCAGCTTGTCACCCATGTTATGATAGTTGCAGATAGTTGTACAACATCAAGCGTGTCCAGGCCAGCCTGCTCGACCAAGACTTCCCCTAATGTCTAGATGTAAACCCTATTTCTACTTTCCACAACCTCCACATTTCTGAAACCCTAAATAAATCTACCATTATCCTTAAAGACCCCACCCCACACTTTCTGACAATTTTTAGTGTGAGGACAGTGCTTACATTACAATGGTTGTATAGTGTGAGGACAGTGCTTACATTACAATGGTTGTATAGTGTGAGGACAGTGCTTACATTACAATGGTTGTATAGTGTGAGGACAGTGCTTACATTACAATGGTTGTATAGTGTGAGGACAGTGCTTACATTACAATGGTTGTATAGTGTGAGGACAGTGCTTACATTACAATGGTTGTATAGTGTGAGGACAGTGCTTACAATGGTTGTATAGTGTGAGGACAGTGCTTACATTACAATGGTTGTAAAGTGTGAGGACAGTGCTTACATTACAATGGTTGTATAGTGTGAGGACAGTGCTTACATTGGTTGTATAGTGTGAGGACAGTACTTACATTACAATGGTTGTATAGTGTGAGGACAGTGCTTACATTACATTGGTTGTATAGCGTGAGGACAGTGCTTACAATGGTTGTATAGTGTGAGGACAGTGCTTACATTGGTTGTATAGTGTGAGGACAGTGCTTACATTGGTTGTATAGTGTGAGGACAGTGCTTACATTACAATGGTTGTATAGTGTGAGGACAGTGCTTACATTGGTTGTAAAGTGTGAGGACAGTGCTTACAATGGTTGTATAGTGTGAGGACAGTGCTTACATTGGTTGTATAGTGTGAGGAGAGTGCTTACATTGGTTGTATAGTGTGAGGACAGTGCTTACATTGGTTGTATAGTGTGAGGACAGTGCTTACATTACATTGGTTGTATAGTGTGAGGACAGTGCTTACATTGGTTGTATAGTGTGAGGACAGTGCTTACATTGGTTGTAAAGTGTGAGGACAGTGCTTACATTGGTTGTATAGCATGAGGACAGTGCTTACATTGGTTGTATAGTGTGAGGACAGTGCTTACATTGGTTGTAAAGTGTGAGGACAGTGCTTACATTGGTTGTATAGTGTGAGGACAGTACTTACATTGGTTGTATAGTGTGAGGACAGTGCTTACATTGGTTGTATAGTGTGAGGAGAGTGCTTACATTGGTTGTATAGTGTGAGGAGAGTGCTTACATTACATTGGTTGTAAAGTGTGAGGACAGTGCTTACATTGGTTGTATAGCATGAGGACAGTGCTTACATTGGTTGTATAGTGTGAGGACAGTGCTTACATTGGTTGTAAAGTGTGAGGAGAGTGCTTACATTGGTTGTATAGTGTGAGGACAGTACTTACATTGGTTGTATAGTGTGAGGACAGTGCTTACATTACATTGGTTGTATAGTGTGAGGACAGTGCTTACATTGGTTGTATAGTGTGAGGACAGTGCTTACATTGGTTGTATAGTGTGAGGACAGTGCTTACATTGGTTGTATAGTGTGAGGACAGTGCTTACATTACAATGGTTGTATAGTGTGAGGACAGTGCTTACATTGGTTGTATAGTGTGAGGACAGTGCTTACATTGGTTGTTAAGTGTGAGGACAGTGCTTACATTACATTGGTTGTATAGTGTGAGGACAGTACATACATTACAATGGTTGTATAGTGTGAAGACAGTGCTTACATTACAATGGTTGTATAGTGTGAGGACAGTGCTTACATTGGTTGTAAAGTGTGAGGACAGTGCTTACATTGGTTGTATAGCATGAGGACAGTGCTTACATTGGTTGTATAGTGTGAGGACAGTGCTTACATTACAATGGTTGTATAGTGTGAGGACAGTGCTTACATTGGTTGTATAGTGTGAGGACAGTGCTTACATTGGTTGTATAGTGTGAAGACAGTGCTTACATTACATTGGTTGTATAGTGTGAGGACAGTGCTTACATTACAATGGTTGTATAGTGTGAGGAGAGTGCTTACATTGGTTGTATAGTGTGAGGACAGTGCTTACATTGGTTGTATAGTGTGAGGACAGTGCTTACATTGGTTGTATAGTGTGAGGAGAGTGCTTACATTGGTTGTATAGTGTGAGGACAGTGCTTACATTGGTTGTATAGTGTGAGGACAGTGCTTACATTACATTGGTTGTTTAGTGTGAGGACAGTGCTTACATTACAATGGTTGTATAGTGTGAGGACAGTGCTTACATTACATTGGTTGTTTAGTGTGAGGACAGTGCTTACATTACAATGGTTGTATAGTGTGAGGACAGTGCTTACATTGGTTGTATAGTGTGAGGACAGTGCTTACATTACAATGGTTGTATAGTGTGAGGACAGTGCTTACATTGGTTGTATAGTGTGAGGACAGTGCTTACATTGGTTGTATAGTGTGAGGACAGTGCTTACATTACAATGGTTGTATAGTGTGAGGACAGTGCTTACATTGGTTGTATAGTGTGAGGACAGTGCTTACATTGGTTGTATAGTGTGAGGACAGTGCTTACATTGGTTGTATAGTGTGAGGACAGTGCTTACATTACATTGGTTGTATAGTGTGAGGACAGTGCTTACAATGGTTGTATAGTGTGAGGACAGTGCTTACATTGGTTGTATAGTGTGAGGACAGTGCTTACATTACAATGGTTGTATAGTGTGAGGACAGTGCTTACAATGGTTGTATAGTGTGAGGACAGTGCTTACATTGGTTGTATAGTGTGAGGACAGTGCTTACATTACAATGGTTGTATAGTGTGAGGACAGTGCTTACATTGGTTGTATAGTGTGAGGACAGTGCTTACATTGGTTGTATAGTGTGAGGACAGTGCTTACATTGGTTGTATAGTGTGAGGACAGTGCCTACATTGGTTGTATATCATGAGGACAGTGCTTACATTGGTTGTATAGTGTGAGGAGAGTGCTTACATTGGTTGTATAGTGAGAGGACAGTGCTTACATTGGTTGTAAAGTGTGAGGACAGTGCTTACATTGGTTGTAAAGTGTGAGGACAGTGCTTACATTACATTGGTTGTTTAGTGTGAGGACAGTGCTTACATTACAATGGTTGTATAGTGTGAAGACATTGGTTGTATGAGGTACATACCTATATAATGTATAATGACTGAGTTTAATATCTATATGTCTTATGACTGAAGTACATAGCTTTATAATGTCTAATGAATGAGGTACATAGCTTTATAATGTCTAATGAATAAGGTACATAGCTTTATAATGTCTAAGGACTGAGGTACATAGCTTTATAATGTCTAATGAATGAGGTACATAGCTTTATAATGTCTAATGACTGAGGTACATAGATTTATAATGTCTAATGACTGAGGTACATAGCTTTATAATGTCTAATGACTGAGGTACATAGCTTTATGATGTCTAATGACTGAGGTACATATCTTTATGATGTCTAATGACTGAGGTACATACCTTTATGATGTCTAATGACTGAGGTACATACCTTTATGATGTCTAATGACTGAGGTACATACCTTTATGATGTCTAATGACTGAGGTACATACCTTTATAATGTCTAATGACTGAGGTACATACCTTTATAATGTCTAATGACTGAGGTACATAGCTTTATAATGTCTAATGACTGATGTACATAGCTTTATAATGTCAAATGACTGAGGTACATAGCTTTATAATGTCAAATGACTGAGGTACATAGCTTAATAATGTCTAATGACTGAGGTACATAGCTTTATAATGTCTAATGACTGAGGTACATAGCTTTATAATGTCTAATGACTGAGGTACATAGCTTTATAATGTCTAATGACTGAGGTACATACCTGCCTATATAATGTCTAATGACTGAGGTACATACCTACATATAATGTCTAATGACTGAGGTACATACCTGCCTATATAATGTCTAATGACTGAGGTACATACCTACATATAATGTCTAATGACTGAGGTACATACCTTTATGTTTAGCTCTTGACTTGTCATCCTTGATGGCAAGACTTGGGAGCCGCTCCTGTTGTTGACTGACCAGACCAAAGTTGATGGTTTCTTCCACTGGATGGGGCTGAGCTGTGCTGGGGATGTCTGAGTCATCAGATTCATCACTTGACTGCTTGTTGGGCTCTGGCATATAATCCCAGAACTGATGTTTGCTAGCTTTACTAATGGACAACTCTGTGTAAGTCTGCATCTCTGTCCCCTCATCCAGATTGTATTCATCATTAGTCACAGAAGCTTCACTGCGAGGAGATTCTATACAAGAGCCTCCGCTACTGGAATCTAGCTTGACCTCTTCATCATATCTGGGATTTTTTGTCTCTGTAATCCGTATCTTGCTCTGGCTTCTAGATGGCATGTAATCAAAACAAGCATGCTCATAGTCGCTGCCATCATCCTCAACACTTTCAGAAAATTGACAAGAGGCTAAACCAGAGTCTTCATCCTTAAATGATGGAACCACTTTAGAATGCGAGTTGCCATGAATTAAGGGTTCTGTTTCATCCCCATTGTCTATTCCCACATATACACCGCCCAGTTTTTTCTTGACATTGTGCTGATTGACATTTGTAGGAGGCATCAAGCTCCTCCCACTGTGCTGACTCATGCTGGCACGTCCTGGAGCCAGACTGAAATTGCGAGCGTTACTGACTAGTTGGCTGAACTCATCTTCTGGTAGCTCAGATATCTTTCTTGCTTGCTCTTTTATTTGGTCCAGCTGCATAAAAAGTTGGCAATTAATTGGGTACATATACACTGAACATAAAAAAATTAATTGGGTACATATACACTGAACATAAAAAAATTAATTTGGTACATATACACTGAACATAAAAAAATTAATTTGGTACATATACACTGAACATAGAAAAAAAAACACCTCTCACACTAGTGAACATGTTTTTTACAGATATAATTCAAATCCACTCCAGCCAATGGACATCTTTATCTACTTGTACAACAAGAGCAGAGCATACAAAGAGTCAAGATGCTGTCGTGGCATCTATTTTTAACACTTTGATGCTGCTGTGTTTTTTGTCGTCCCCCCCCCCCCCCCCCCCCATGCTTACAAGTTGTGTTTTGAACTAATCAGCATATTTAAGTTCAATTTAGCATTGGTTGGTTTATATTAGAAGAGATAACTTTGGTTTGTAAATTCAATGGTAACTTGTGACCTACTAGACCTAGAGTTTCTATAACAACGGCACATGGGCTGCTGAAGACGTCAGTAGTGGGCCATAATGACAAAGCAATTATTTTGACATTAAAGCAAACCCTATTCTTTAATACAAACGATTACAACGGCACAAACTCAACCTAAAATAATAAAAAATACTTCTTATTACTTTATCACTGTAGCATATATTCAATAGAAACGTCACTCCTACAAGATAGGGTAAACAGATAAAATAGCACAAATTTCTCAAGATATATACAGGAATTTCAAAACAGAATTCTGCAAATGTTCAGATTTTTTCCAGACATAAATAGTAAAATTAAATACAGCTACTAATGCTGAAACAAAATTACAAATATTTTAAGGCCTACTCAATTGTAATTATATATATTTTGGGGGGGCGGGGGTTAGCGCGGGGGTTGGCGCCTGCGAATGTTGAAGCTCTAACGCTGAATATTGTAGTACCCTTTACCTGCTATGCAGGATGCCTGATTAACAGATACCTATTGCTAAGATAGCCGCTCTGGAACTCTGGGCACCAAACCATTTATTGAAAAAAATCGTAACCCCGTGCACCACCCACAAGAAATTTTAATTTTTTTCCCTGCAGAAACCTCCCCTGGAGTGTTCTTATCAACTCCCCAAAATTTCATGCCGATCAGAAGAACAGTGTCAAAGCGCAATCAAATTTATTTTCATATACTGTAAATAGAGAAGAATCAAATTGAGCCCTGCTGGGGTGTCACCCTTGTGAATTTGAAATTTTTCTCTCGCAGAAACCTCCACCGGAGTATTTTCAAGAACTTCTTAAAGTGTCATGGAGATCTGATGAAAGTAATGCATAAAGACTGACTCACACACATTGCTTTATATATATATATATATATATATATATATATACACACACACTGGAACAGGGCATTACCCCCCACCCAGTGGGACACCCCCCCCTCCGGATTAGTGTTATGGTCAGGGCCATGGCTAGGGCTTGATTTAGGGGGTTATGACAGGAGAAAATGTCCAGGGGTAATTCACACATTTATACACACACACATATACTAGTTCCTATTGGACGCCTATAAATTAAGTGGACGGGGAACCAGTACTTGGCTGCAGCTATTAGGCTGAACAGGCCATCAAAATAAAATGCTGAAACATGCTCGTAGACTGACTATCACAGTCAAGCCAGAGCTTGTGAGAAACCTGGGGTCTGGCTAAGCAGACCGCTGGTGTGAGGTTGGGTAAAGTGATGGTTGCTAGTTTATGACTGGAACGCTCATTGACTGGCCAGTACTGACTGAATAAGGCCTATATATATATAAATATGTAGGCCTATATATATTGTATTTAGTAGCCCACGTATGAGGGCATACACAAATAATTATGGCAGTGTTTTTATCATTGAACAGAGTAAAGTCATTTTGATCACAGACACAAATCTCTGAGAGCTTAGGGCCTAGTTTTAAATTAATCTTATGCTCATTGTGGTGAACAATCAGTTATAGTACTGTGTAGTGTAGGGCTAGAATCTTCACTGTGGTTATAGTACTGTGTAGTGTAGGACTAGAATCTTCACTGTGGTTATAGTACTGTGTAGTGTAGGACTAGAATCTTCACTGTGGTTATAGTACTGTGTAGTGTAGGGCTAGAATCTTCACTGTGGTTATAGTACTGTGTAGTGTAGGACTAGAATCTTCACTGTGGTTATAGTACTGTGTAGTGTAGGACTAGAATCTTCACTGTGGTTATAGTACTGTGTAGTGTAGGGCTAGAATCTTCACTGTGGTTATAGTACTGTGTAGTGTAGGGCTAGAATCTTCACTGTGGTTATAGTACTGTGTAGTGTAGGACTAGAATCTAGAGTAAATAATATTTCACACAACTACTAATGCCTAATACTTTGTATGCGTTTAATGTATCTAGTGGCTAGACTACTAACTAGAGTCTAAAAATGAAATGTAGCCTACTAATTAATAAATAACTATTGATTCAATACTTGAGTATAAAAATGTCTGATAACAGACTTCCAAAAATAGATGAGTTAAGTCATTAATAGAATTGTAATCTCTGGTTTGGCCAGCAATTAGGGTTAGGGCTATGGTATTGATACGACTAGGGAAAGGTTAGCATTGCCATTAGCATGTCACATTTGTATTTAGTTATCTACCAGTAATCTAACACTTCTTTTTAATTTTCATGAGATGTTTGACACTGGTATAATCACTAATTATTATGTAATAATATGTAGTAAAATATAGAACAAGTACAGTTGAATCTATTAAAAACAGGCCTATATATAACAATCTATAATAATTAGTTAGGTTAACTAGCTTATTAAGTTATATGAAGTTAAGTCATTACTATCAACTTAACAAGATTTCAGAATGTTATACTATAAGCATAATATAGTTAAATATAGTATAGACCTAGAGGGCCAAAACGATAGGCTAATTAGACCTATTAAATATTAATTATATGGACATAGTGGAGCTATATACTAGATTTTCTCACTAAATCTAAAATTTACTCAATTTTCAATTTAAACATTGACCACCGAATGATAGACATCCATATTACACCGAATGATAGACATCCATATTTTATCCATTCATTAGGCACTAATTTTGAAGTTTTTAGTTTGTTTTGAACTAAAATATAACTTAATTTAATATTTATTGTCACTCAGTGCCATGCACGACACCTCTCCATGACAACAAATATTATATCACTCTTACGAGTTCCTCACTAGTGATCACCAAATAGTGGTCACATGGTTTAAAAAAACAATTAGGTTGTCATTCAGATGTTGTGTCTTAAAAAAAAAGTGCTTGCAATATTTGATTTATTTTTTGCATAGACTGATAAACCTACTAGTTCTACAAGCTCCAATTCATTTATCTATTCTCTGGGCTGATTTTATAAAAGTTCTATTAATTTTAATGACACTGAGTTTTAAATTTAGCCTTCATTCTCCAAAGCAAATTTTAAAATGCTTTTCTGGCATATTTAGCCTTGCCACCTAGGCCTATAGCTTGTATTTTGTAATGTAAAAATCCGCCATTTTGCTTGTGGTAAACATTTTTAAAAGTAATTCTAAGAAGGTCACTAGAACTAAGACGAAAAATCATCGCAAGTCATGCATCCGGTCTGTACGCCATATTGTTATTAGCAACCCCCCACGCCTCCAGGCTAGCGAGCAATACTAACTATATACTAATCACTATAGCATATGGTCATATAGAATAGCAATAGTAACTATAGTATATAATAGATAAGTACTATTAAGTACATTCTATAGTAATTTATAATGCTATAACTAAGCCTATATAATTATATAGCTAGTAGGCCTAGATTCTATACAGTAATAATATAGTATACATTTACTATAGGCCTACATCTAGGACAAGGTAAATCTAGAGAATCTAGACTATTCTTAATCTTTACTCAAGTCTGACTGTAACAGTGCAATTCTGTTGTAGATCAGACCTAAAAGTTAAAAGAAGGTCTAGACTCTCTAGGTTTAAAATCTAGCTAGATCTACAAGTAACAAGCTACACTAAGCTAAGCTCTAGACAGACACTCTAGCTAGTGGCTAGAGTAGACCTAGAATCTAGTGAGTGTATAGTAGGCATTTTGTTGACAATTTCAAAATGATTTTTTAATTTAAAAAAGTATCAATAATAGCTAGCACACTAATAAACTAAGCCAATTTAGCATATATTAACTTTCTGTTAATGAAAAAAATTCCAAAGTCAGGTCGGCCTGTGGCACCCTTCACTGAACTTGACTAAAGGAAAAAATATTTGACCTGTGACCTTCATTAAAACAGAATTTACTTATGTTTTTTTTAACTATTAGTAAACATGTGCTTAATATTACCCAATAAGTAAAAAAATTTGACAATTAATTTTAATTACTGTTGTAAAGTGAGATAAACAGCTTAATAAACACGTGTTTTCTTGAGGGGGTGTGACCCGGGTGTGGCACATCGCATTGTAACTTTTTATTTCTGTGTTTTATGACTATTTGTTCACAATCAGCATGCTATGCTTTTAAAATTGATAAAGGGTAAGTATACTAAGCTACAAAACCTGAAATCTAACTAATATATTTTCAGTTTAAAAAATAATAAAAACGATCATCAATGAAGAAAGCGTAAACATTCTATTTTTAGGTGTGACATAAAAAAAACTGTCATAAACCTAGCCAAATGATTGGATTCTTGCGCTGCACACATTTTCCCGCGCCTCGTGGTCACCAAAAAAGGTTATAATAAAATGGCATTATTACTTGAACGGACCACATCTCATACCGACCATAAGTTATTACCACTTAATTGTAATATGTGTAAAATTGATACTTTCAAGTTTCATATACACATAGTCTGGTTTATTATACACGAGGAATTTTAGAGTTATTTGATTCGAAAGATGAGAATTATATAGAGCTAATTTCACTAAGGCGCCGCTTGCAAGACAAACAAAGAAAATAGGCCAAAAGTAGATCCGACAATTCTTAATTAACAGACTTAATTAAATAGAAACAGATAGTTCCGATTTCTAAAATTAACGATGGCTTGGTAATCATTAGTTTTATCCCTCTACACATTAGTGAAAGCGAAACTGGTCGCCATTTTTGGTAAGCGCATGAGCCGTGAGATGGCTTTAAAACAACAAACCCGGAAGCTGTGAATCGAACGGCCTAGTGTATAGTATAGGCATACTGTCTGTGTATGTAGTATGTAGAGATGTAGACACTGCTACTAGCCTACTACTACACTTTACTACACTATCACTCACTATGTGAAGTAGATCTAGATTATGTGAGCTGTCACTCTTAGTCTGAGACACTCTTACTAACTTACTTAGTACTTAGTCTGTAGATCTAGATTCTAGTAATGAAGTGTTAGATCTATACCAGCTAAATCAGCCTACTTACTAGTATTTCTCACTAGCCCGGGGGCGTGGCCGGTTGCTAACAACAATATGGCGTACGGACCGGATGTATGACTTCCGACGATTTTTCGTCTTAGTTCCAGAGACCTTCTTAGAATTACTTTTAAAAATGTTTATCACGAGTAAAATGGCGGGTTTTCACGTTATAAAAACATGCTATAGGTGGCAAGGCTAAATTTGCCAGAAAAGCATTTTAAAATTTGCTTTGGAGAATGAAGGCTAAATTTAAAAGTCGGTCTCATTAAAATTAATAGAACTTCTAAAATATCAGCCCGGAGGTCACAAAAATGAATTGGAGGTTGTAGAATTATTAGTTTTATCATTATATGAAGAAATAAATCAAATATTGCATGCACTTTTTAAAATAAGACACGACTTTTGAATGACAACCAAATTTATTTATTTTTTTAAACCACGTGACCGCTATTTGATGATCACTAGTGGGGAACTCTGGGTACATGGCCACTTAAAAAGTCTAACTTATTTGTGGTTTTCTTTACGTTCAAGCTTAAGAAGAGTTATCATGGAGAGGTGTGTTGGCCATGGCAGTGAGTGTCAATAAATATTAAATTAAGTAATTTAGTTTAAAATGAACTAAAAACTTCAAAATTAGTGCCTAATGGATTAAATATGGATGTCTATCATTCAGTAGTCATGTTTAATTTGAAATTTGGGTAAATTCTAGATTTAGTAAGAAAAACTACTACTTACCCTACTAGCTAGGGTCTAGAGTCTAGATCTAAAATTCTAGATCTAGAGAGTAGATAGAATTAGAATCTAGATCTACTGTAGTTACTACTAGACAACTAGAACCTAGATAGATGTACTAGATTAGAACTAGATCTAGACCTGAAATAGATCTAGATCTAGACTAGACTAGAGACTAGATCTAGAATCTAGTCTAGTGAGTTCACCCATTGCAACGGTAAAAAAAAATAATCGGCTGTTGTTTTTACCAAGATAACTGCGGCTAACTTTAAAATTACATCAATGTTAGGCTTGTGTATAAAGAAAAAGGGAGACTAAAATGTGAAAAACAGAGGTTCAATGATTAGCTAGTGAAATAAAACAATTATACACACAAACAAGGCCAAAACAAGTTGTAGTGTAACAGTGTTACAGGGCCTCCATGGCCATACTTCCCGGACCCGTGATATTAATAATGAATATGGTAATTTATTAAGGTCACCATTTCACAGAACACAGGAAATGACATCCGACTTAAGGGAAGTAACAATGAAAATCGAAATATTTTTCTGTAACGTAGCCAACATCATAAAGAATTTAAAAAATCTAGATCTAAATTAATAGCACTAAGTTAGAAGAAAAATGAAATAAAAAGCTAGACTACTTTCACCCAACATACGGTTATCTCTAAACTAGATCTAGCATAAATCAAAGTAGATCTAGAATCTAGATCTAACTGCATTTTGAAAATCTGCTGACTGAATTTCCTCCAGTGTCCATTAAATGAATGATTCGTATTTCATACAGAATCTTACCCTAATTTTGTCAATGGTTTTGGGAATTAAGTGATCATATATAGATAAAACTTGTTCAGCGTCAATATTGCGTAAGGCACTACCAAGGAGGAACGCGTATTTTGTATCTTCTTCTACATTTTCTTGCTCTGAATCCATCTTTGAATGGCCATATTGAAAATAATAGCCTACCGTCGCCAAGCAAAATTCTCACGAGATTTTTGGCGTCGCACGAGTTCTTAAAATCTTCCGGGTTAGGCTAGCCAATATTTATTATTATAAGTTATTAGATTTAGATCCAGCTTTCTAGATATGTAGAGCTAGATCTAGATCTAGATTACATTAGAATCCAGATCTATTCTAGATCTACAATCTAGATATTAACTAGTGTATAGCATAGGCCTATAGGCCTAGATAAGTATTATATAGAAGATTCTAGGCCTATATTTACATTTCATTTTAAATGTTTAAGCAAAATTAGTAGGCCTAGTACTAGTTAAATAATAAATTACAATGGAGACAAGCGAGTTGACGAGATTCCTTCCATAGTGTTGTTGATATGGAATAAAAACGTGCTTTTTAGATTTAGACCGTAAAAAAAAATAAAAAATAAAAACTTAAGCCTAAAATTAATTTAGAAATTTTATATTTTTAGAATAAATGCTATAAGTATACAAGTTGCAAATCCAGAGAACTTGAAAATAATTTGTTGAGTTTAAGACTTTAAGGCTACATCTCTATTTATTTTCATCAAGCCTAAGTTATAACCGGATGTTTCACTTTCGTAAGACAAATATTGATTGGCTGTACAGTAACTTAGTGATCGATAACTATTTGTTTACAAAACTTTGCAGATCAAGTTTTTAAATAACAATGCAAATTTAAAACCCCATGACCTAGTTTTCTATTTTTAGCTTACAATGTGTACAATAAAATTTGTGTCTGCCTATCCAATAGCAGGATGCCATTGTTTATGTCGCCATTACACGTGAAAACCAAATTGTTTTTGCTTTTTTTTAAATTTTTATTTAGTTACCGAAAATATTAAAAACATTAAATACGTCCAATCTTTAGTAAAGTCCGAAAAAAACCAGACAGACAGGATTTTATAACCATATTAATTGTAACTACGCCGTGCAAGATTTTTAAATTAATTTATGCACCTCTCAAATACCTTTGAGACTTTTCTCGCTTGTGTCCATTTCAATTAAAATCTAGATCTAGATTCTAGTAATTGTAAATACTAAATATTAAAATAATTAGAATCTACTAGTAGATCTAGATCTAGTAAAATTACTCCAATTAGTCAATAAGTGTTAGATTAGATCTAATCTAAATTTTCTAGATCTCTAGATAATATATTATTATATATTATATAAGTATATAGATCTAGAATAAGGGTAATCTATTGTTTTGGGTACGTAAAATCGCCCGCGGCTATTAATGTACGAAAACGTTACCTCATTGTCAAGGCTTTAATAGAAGTATAGTGTCATATGTTTGTGTCAAATATTATAGATAAATGAATAATAAACCTAAATCAATGGCTAAATATATCGATATAGGCCAGAAATTAACTTTAAGCAGCAGTGTCTGAGAGCAAGATTTGCTATATACACAGCAGCCATTTGTAAAATAGAGTGGCTTCCCCCTGAATCTTGCGCTAAAAGCTTATAAAAATAAAACTTAAACAAGATGGCTGCTATAGTAAATGAGCATGGTTGCATCTGTTGGAAACATCGCTAGTCTTCATTTATTACGGAAACGTTTTAATTCAATTGTTTAAAAACAGGTACATAAATGAACCAAGGAAACATTTTTGTATTTTAAAAAACATAAATCCTCCTCAAAATGTGAAATAATTATTAAAATTTAAGGAGTCACCTGGTTTTCACATTACAAGTCGCGGGCGATTTTATGTACCCAAAACGATAGATTACCAGAATAAGATATTATAATTTATTAATTATAGGCCTAATAACCTAATAGATTAGAAAAGCTAGTAAAATTAATTAGTATACTAGATTCTAGATCTATAAGTAGATCTATATTCTTTAAGATCAACATTTTTCTTAGATCCAGTGAACAGATTTAGATCTAGATCTCTAGGTGCAGTGACCATTCAACAGGATGACGGAAAATATTTATTTATTCGTACCAAACATTATTGGTAAGTCAAAGTCAGTTGGCCTCTCTAGAGTCTAGTACTCTAGGTTGACTTAAAAATTAAGCTAGATTCTAGATCTATTTCTGTTTCTTGATTTCACTGATTAGACGGCCAAACTGGTTTTTTTTTTGCACTCTGGTGCTTAGGAATGTAGGCAATAAAATATATAGACTAACATTGTATGTAATGAAGACAATAAGAACAATCCATTAAATTAAAACAAATCCTTTAAGTACAGTTCCCTTAACTTCAGTCCCTTAACTTAAAGACAATTCCTTTAGTTAAGTACAATCATTTAACTTAAGTACAATCCCTTAACTCATCCACAATTTCTTAACTTAAGGACAATCCCTTAAGTACAATTCCTTTAACTTAAGTAAAATTCCTTAAGTACAATCCCTGACCTTAATACAAGATTACTATTACCATATAATAGACAATTTTAGCCTCAAGACATTCTTTAGTACTTGTAGCTTCATTCTGTTAGAGTGGATATAACTAATTTGATCATTTTTTTTTCTTTCCAGATTACTTGAGAATTTTGTTTGCTTTTATTTCATTTTACTATATGCCCACTGAGCCAAGCACAGCCACTGCGTTTTATCTTTTGAGTGGATTTCTTGATGCCTTTGATGGCCACTTGGCTAGGATGTTGAATCAATGTATGTTTGATTGGCTTTCTTCTGGTGCATATTAGAAACCAAGATTAATTTCACTAGATTAAAATCTCTTAAATGTAAGCTTAACAATTTTAAAACCAAAGGTTCAATCTCTGACCCATTCCCTCCCCCCCCCCCCCACCCCCATAAAAAAATGAGCTTTGTGCATCTGAAGCACCTGATGCTTTTTCTAGGTAGTAAACTTGGAGCCATGTTAGACCAGCTGACAGACAGGATCACAACAATGTGTTTGTGTGCCACCCTCTGCCACCTGTACCCCAACTACATGCTCTTCTTCCAGTTTGCTATGGCCCTGGATATCTTTAGCCACTGGATGCACTGTCAGAGGTAACTAGATGTACATACTTGTGGCTAGATGTACATACTTATGGCTAGATGTACATACTTATGGCTTAATGTACATAGTTATGGCTAGATGTACATACTTGTGGCTAGATGTACATACTTATGGCTAGATGTACATACTTATGGCTTAATGTACATAGTTATGGCTAGATGTACATACTTGTGGCTAGATGTACATACTTATGGCTAGATGTACATACTTGTGGCTAGATGTACATACTTATGGCTAGATGTACATACTTATGGCTAGATGTACATACTTATGGCTTAATGTACATAGTTATGGCTAGATGTACATACTTGTGGCTAGATGTACATACTTATGGCTAGATGTACATACTTATGGCTTAATGTACATAGTTATGGCTAGATGTACATACTTGTGGCTAGATGTACATACTTATGGCTAGATGTACATACTTATGGCTTAATGTACATAGTTATGGCTAGATGTACATACTTGTGGCTAGATGTACATACTTATGGCTAGATGTACATACTTGTGGCTAGATGTACATACTTATGGCTAGATGTACATACTTATGGCTAGATGTACATACTTATGGCTAGATGTACATACTTATGGCTAGATGTACATACTTATGGCTAGATGTACATACTTATGGCTAGATGTACATACTTATGGCTAGATGTACATACTTATGGCTAGATGTACATACTTATGGCTAGATGTACATACTTATGGCTAGATGTACATACTTATGGCTAGATGTACATACTTATGGCTAGATGTACATACTTATGGCTAGATGTACATACTTATGGCTAGATGTACATACTTATGGCTAGATGTACATACTTATGGCTAGATGTACATACTTATGGCTAGATGTACATACTTATGGCTTAATGTACATACTTATGGCTAGATGTACATACTTGTGGCTAGATGTACATACTTATGGCTAGATGTACATACTTATGGCTAGATGTACATACTTATGGCTAGATGTACATACTTTTGGCTAGATGTACATACTTATGGCTTAATGTACATACTTATGGCTAGATGTACATACTTATGGCTAGATGTACATACTTATGGCTAGATGTACATACTTATGGCTAGATGTACATACTTATGGCTAGATGTACATACTTATGGCTAGATGTACATACTTATGGCTAGATGTACATACTTATGGCTTAATGTACATAGTTATGGCTAGATGTACATACTTGTGGCTAGATGTACATACTTATGGCTAGATGTACATACTTATGGCTTAATGTACATAGTTATGGCTAGATGTACATACTTGTGGCTAGATGTACATACTTATGGCTAGATGTACATACTTGTGGCTAGATGTACATACTTATGGCTAGATGTACATACTTATGGCTAGATGTACATACTTATGGCTAGATGTACATACTTATGGCTAGATGTACATACTTATGGCTAGATGTACATACTTATGGCTAGATGTACATACTTATGGCTAGATGTACATACTTATGGCTAGATGTACATACTTATGGCTAGATGTACATACTTATGGCTAGATGTACATACTTATGGCTAGATGTACATACTTATGGCTAGATGTACATACTTATGGCTAGATGTACATACTTATGGCTAGATGTACATACTTATGGCTAGATGTACATACTTATGGCTAGATGTACATACTTATGGCTAGATGTACATACTTATGGCTTAATGTACATACTTATGGCTAGATGTACATACTTGTGGCTAGATGTACATACTTATGGCTAGATGTACATACTTATGGCTAGATGTACATACTTATGGCTAGATGTACATACTTATGGCTAGATGTACATACTTATGGCTAGATGTACATACTTATGGCTAGATGTACATACTTATGGCTAGATGTACATACTTATGGCTAGATGTACATACTTATGGCTAGATGTACATACTTATGGCTAGATGTACATACTTATGGCTAGATGTACATACTTATGGCTAGATGTACATACTTGTGGCTAGATGTACATACTTGTGGCTAGATGCACATACTTATGGCTTAATGTACATACTTGTGGCTAGATGTACATACTTTTGGCTTAATGTACACACTTGACAACTAAATGTTGACAATAAACCATTTTTCTCTTTCAGTGCTGTACAAAGAGGGAGCACAAGCCACAAAAAAATCGACCTCTCTGCCAATCCCATACTGAGGTACTATTACCACAGTCAGGTAATACCTTGTTGCATTTCTTCCTTGTATTACCACAGTCAGGTAATACCTTGTTGCATTTCTTCCTTGTATTACCACAGTCAGGTAATACCTTGTTGCATTTCTTCCTTGTATTACCACAGTCAGGTAATACCTTGTTGCATTTCTTCCTTGTATTACCACAGTCAGGTAATACCTTGTTGCATTTCTTCCTTGTATTACCACAGTCAGGTAATACCTTGTTGCATTTCTTCCTTGTATTACCACAGTCAGGTAATACCTTGTTGCATTTCTTCCTTGTATTACCACAGTCAGGTAATACCTTGTTGCATTTCTTCCTTGTATTACCACAGCCAGGTAATACCTTGTTGCATTTCTTCCTTGTATTACCACAGTCAGGTAATACCTTGTTGCATTTCTTCCTTGTATTACCACAGTCAGGTAATACCTTGTTGCATTTCTTCCTTGTATTACCACAGCCAGGTAATACCTTGTTGCATTTCTTCCTTGTATTACCACAGCCAGGTAATACCTTGTTGCATTTCTTCCTTGTATTACCACAGCCAGGTAATACCTTGTTGCATTTCTTCCTTGTATTACCACAGCCAGGTAATACCTTGTTGCATTTCTTCCTTGTATTACCACAGTCAGGTAATACCTTGTTGCATTTCTTCCTTACTGCTGGTTATGCCTGTAGGTTTTAGGTCACATGTATAGGTTATTTCTGTAGGTTTTAGGTCACATGTATAGGCTATGTCTGTAGGTTTTAGGTCACATGTATAGGCTATGTCTGTAGGTTTTAGGTCACATGTATAGGTTATGTCTGTAGGTTTTAGGTCACATGTATAGGCTATGTCTCTAGGTTTTAGGTCACATGTATAGGCTATGTCTGTAGGTTTTAGGTCGCATGTATAGGCTATGTCTGTAGGTTTTAGGTCACACAAAAAATGTTGCAGGTAGTAGGACAAGTTTCCAAGTTGCAGGTCATGTCTGTAAGTTAGGTCCCAGGTCATGTCTGTAAGTTAGGTCCCAGGTCATGTCTGTAAGTTAGGTCACAGGTCATGTCTATAAGTTAGGTCCCAGGTCATGTCTATAAGTCAGGTCATAGTGAATGAACCCTTCTAGCCACTTTGTTTACTGATATCAAAACTACAAGTTTACTACTAATGAACCCTTCTAGCCACTTTGTTTACTGATATCAAAACTACAAGTTTACTACTAATGAACCCTTCTAGCCACTTTGTTTACTGATATCAAAACTACAAGTTTACTACTAATGAACCCTTCTAGCCACTTTGTTTACTGATATCAAAACTACAAGTTTACCACTAATGAACCCTTCTCTTCTAGGCTGTCTTGTTCACCATGTGTGCAGCTAATGAATTATTTTTTTGTATGCTGTATTTAAACTACTTCAGTACTGGACCTATCAGTAAGTTGTAGATCAAACACTCAGTTGTAATTAGTGTGCGTCATGTGGAGTTAGTGTGTACACAGATGTCATGTGGATCTAGTGTGTACACAGATGTCATGTGGAGTTAGTGTGTACACAGATGTCATGTGGAGTTAGTGTGTACACAGATGTCATGTGGATCTAGTGTGTACACAGATGTCACGTGGAGTTAGTGTGTACACAGATGTCATGTGGAGTTAGTGTGTACACAGATGTCATGTGGAGCTAGTGTGTACACAGATGTCATGTGAAGTTAGTGTGTACACAGATGCCACGTGGAGTTAGTGTGTACACAGATGTCACGTGGAGTTAGTGTGTACACAGATGTCACGTGGAGTTAGTGTGTACACAGATGTCACGTGGAGTTAGTGTGTACACATATGTCACGTGGAGTTAGTGTGTACACATATGTCATGTGGAGTTAGTGTGTACACAGATGTCATGTGGATCTAGTGTGTACACAGATGTCATGTGGAGTTAGTGTGTACACAGATGTCATGTGGAGTTAGTGTGTACACAGATGTCATGTGGAGCTAGTGTGTACACAGATGTCATGTGAAGTTAGTGTGTACACAGATGTCACGTGGAGTTAGTGTGTACACAGATGTCATGTGGAGTTAGTGTGTACACAGATGTCATGTGGAGTTAGTGTGTACACAGATGTCATGTTTTCTCTCTCTAGTCCCCATCATTGGTGTTGGGCTATGGAAGCTGATCTGGGTGATGTGTTTCCCGCTGGCCGTGTTGAAAATGTTGATCAGCTGCATTCAGCTGGGAGCTGCCTGTGAAAACTATGCCATTATGGACAGAGAGGACCGGTCGAAACAAACTACAGGACAGACTATAGAACAGCAGAAAAAATTGGAATAAAAATTGCCCGGACAAAAACTATCGATGAAGGGATGATACAACTTGGACAAGATGGCATGCCCATAGGCAAGATGGCATGCCCATAACTTTGGCAGTCAGCTATGGATGAGTCATCAGAGTTTTTCTTTCTCATACTTTGTTTGACCTGCAAGACTTGTACCATAGGCTTGCCATGTTTGTATGTAAGGAGAAAATTTGTTCAGGCCGTCAATAGTTTGTATGTAAGGAGAAAACTTGTTGGCTGTCAATAGTTTGTTTGTAAGGAGAAAACTTGTTGGCTGTCAATAGTTTGTATGTAAGGAGAAAACTTGTTGGCTGTCAATAGTTTGTTTGTAAGGAGAAAACTTGTTGGCTGTCAATAGTTTGTATGTAAGGAGAAAACTTGTTATGGCCGTCAATAGTTTGTATGTAAGGAGAAAACTTGTTGGCCGTCAATAGTTTGTATGTAAGGAGAAAACTTGTTGGCTGTCAATAGTTTGTTTGTAAGGAGAAAACTTGTTGGCCGTCAATAGTTTGTATGTAAGGAGAAAACTTGTTCTGGCCGTCAATAGTTTGTATGTAAGGAGAAAACTTGTTGGCTGTCAATAGTTTGTTTGTAAGGAGAAAACTTGTTGGCTGTCAATAGTTTGTATGTAAGGAGAAAACTTGTTATGGCCGTCAATAGTTTGTATGTAAGGAGAAAACTTGTTGGCCGTCAATAGTTTGTATGTAAGGAGAAAACTTGTTCTGGCCATCAATAGTTTGTATGTAAGGAGAAAACTTGTTGGCAGTCAATAGTTTGTATGTAAGGAGAAAACTTGTTGGCCGTCAATAGTTTGTATGTAAGGAGAAAACTTGTTGGCTGTCAATAGTTTGTATGTAAGGAGAAAACTTGTTCTGGCCATCAATAGTTTGTATGTAAGGAGAAAACTTGTTGGCAGTCAATAGTTTGTATGTAAGGAGAAAACTTGTTGGCCGTCAATAGTTTGTATGTAAGGAGAAAACTTGTTGGCTGTCAATAGTTTGTATGTAAGGAGAAAACTTGTTCTGGCCATCAATAGTTTGTATGTAAGGAGAAAACTTGTTCTGGCCATCAATAGTTTGTATGTAAGGAGAAAACTTGTTCTGGCCATCAACAGTTTGTATGTAAGGAGAAAACTTGTTGGCCGTCAATAGTTTGTATGTAAGGAGAAAACTTGTTCTGGCCATCAATAGTTTGTATGTAAGGAGAAAACTTGTTCTGGCCATCAATAGTTTGTATGTAAGGAGAAAACTTGTTCTGGCCATCAATAGTTTGTATGTAAGGAGAAAACTTGTTGGCCGTCAATAGTTTGATGTTGTAACAACCAATGCTTGGCTTGAGCCCAAGTGTCATGTGTAGTAGCTTTACACCTTTTATATTTCTTCCTTTGATTGTTCAACAGCCAACTTGTAACAGTTCATTTGTCCATACGCGTGTCAAGTTGTTTTGTCAGTGTCAGAATATTGTTTAATGTAACACACAACACATTTTAGATGAAGTGTTTTGTTATTGTAGTGTTGGGAGAGATTTATTAAAAAAACAATAAAAACTTGAAAATAAAATTTCCCAAGATTAATTTTATTGATAAATAGAAATACTGTATACTGGTAATGGACCATTAATATTTAAAACTGTGGAACATAACTGGAAGAGTAGCCAGATATTTTGAATAAAGCTGTGACAAGTACAGTGAGATAAGTTTTAGCCTATTTCCTTTGTGGCAATTTTTTGGAAATGAAGGTTTTTTATTAATCCATTTTTTTATGATGCAACTTAAAAGTATATCAAACTGTAGTACAAATAAACAGAATCATGTCTTTAGTTAGAGATAATAAACATAATTTTGTTTTTGAAATATTGAATAAAATCTATATATTCCAAGATAATGGGATAGGCAATATTTCAAGTATGATTAATAAACATCTAGCTATTACTAGTATTACATACCATACTTAACTTCCTAGGTAAATTTAATAATTTCCTATCTGAAGTTATTGAATCTAATGGAACATTTCAGTGAACATGGCAAAATAACATTTCTGGTACACAAGTTCAATCAAATATATTTCAAATCCCAAACTTGAAAGTATTTTGATGAACCGGATTGGTCTACACTTGTGGTCAAACAATGTTCAAACTTAGATATTTGTTTTTCTAATGAGCTATACACTTTTTTTTATAACCAAGCTTAGTTAATTTATCCAAAATTATAAATGAAGTTGTTTCCCATGATAAAGGCTCTAGAAATAAAGTTGGTGTCAACTGTTTAAGAAGATTGTTCTGGTTGTTTCAGCCAAACAAGCACAATTTAAAACTGAACTTTCTAGCAAAGCCAGGTAGATGCTCAATGGGTTGATACATTTTCATTACAATTTACAAAAAAAAATATTTAAAATAACTGCTAAAAGTAAATTCTGTTTCTAAATTAGGTTTGTTTAAGTCAGTGCCATCCTCTCCACTTTCTACTGGGAGTGAGTGCATAGTAAGACAAGACAACTCTTTTTTTCTAGTGGATAAATTAGCATAAATTAGCAGTAGTCATCAATATTTAAGCAAAGAAACCCCATAAGAAGGCAGCCACACCCATCAAAAAGAGGGCGTTGATATTGAGGAACCTTCTCCAGGCAGCCTGCTCATGTATGGATGTTTGTTTCTCCTCTATGGCTTTCATCTCAGCCTCCGTCAGCTGGTGCTCCTCCATCTTTTCTATGCCACAGATCCACTGGCCAGCTTTTTTATACCAAGGGAGGCTATCATAGTCTGAAACAATCAAGGGAGGTTATCACAGTTTAACAGGTTAAAGAAACAGGTCACTGAGTTAGTTGAAACACCAAGACATGGGTATCATTATAATATTAAAGGTTTCACCTATATGCTGTCTCACTATGTTACCTGAGGTCTCACCAATATGCTGTCTCACTATGTTACCTGAGGTCTCACCTATATGCTGTCTCGCTATGTTACCTGAGGTCTCACCTATATGCTGTCTCACTATGTTACCTGAGGTCTCACCTATATGCTGTCTCACTATGTTACCTGAGGTCTCACCTATATGCCGTCTCATTATGTTACCTGAGGTCTCACCTATATGCTGTCTCGCTATGTTACCTGAGGTCTCACCTATATGCTGTCTCACTATGTTACCTGAGGTCTCACCTATATGCTGTCTCACTATGTTACCTGAGGTCTCACCTATATGTTGTCTCACTATGTTACCTGAGGTCTCACCTATATGCTGTCTCACTATGTTACCTGAGGTCTCACCTATATGCTGTCTCACTATGTTACCTGAGGTCTCACCTATATGCCGTCTCATTATGTTACCTGAGGTCTCACCTATATGCTGTCTCGCTATGTTACCTGAGGTCTCACCTATATGCTGTCTCACTATGTTACCTGAGGTCTCACCTATATGCTGTCTCACTTTGTTACCTGAGGTCTCACCTATATGCTGTCTCGCTATGTTACCTGAGGTCTCACCTATATGCTGTCTCACTATGTTACCTGAGGTCTCACCTATATGCTGTCTCACTATGTTACCTGAGGTCTCACCTATATGTTGTCTCACTATGTTACCTGAGGTCTCACCTATATGCTGTCTTGCTATGTTACCTGATACCTCACCTATATGCTGTCTCACTATGTTACCTGAGGTCTCACCTATATGCTGTCTCACTATGTTACCTGAGGTCTCACCTATAAGCTGTCTCGCTATGTTACCTGAGGTCTCACTATGTTACCTGAGGTCTCACCTATATGCTGTCTCACTATGTTACCTGAGGTCTCACCTATATGCTGTCTCACTATGTTACCTGAGGTCTCACCTATATGCTGTCTCACTATGTTACCTGAGGTCTCACCTATATGCTGTCTCACTATGTTACCTGAGGTCTCACCTATATGCTGTCTCACTGTTACCTGAGGTCTCACCTATATGCTGTCTCACTATGTTACCTGAGGTCTCACCTATATGCTGTCTCACTGTTACCTGAGGTCTCACCTATATGCTGTCTCACTATGTTACCTGAGGTCTCACCTATATGCTGTCTCACTTTGTTACCTGATGTCTCACTATGTTACCTGAGGTCTCACCTATATGCTGTCTCACTATGTTACCTGAGGTCTCACCTATATGCTGTCTCACTATGTTACCTGAGGTCTCACCTATATGCTGTCTCACTATGTTACCTGAGGTCTCACCTATATGCTGTCTCGCTATGTCACCTGAGGTCTCACCTTGGTGCTCTGTCTTAGGTTCCGCCATGGGTTCAGGCTTCTGGTCAACCTCTAGCTCTGAAAGGTCAACTCTTTGTCTGGTACTGTAGCGGTTCCAAAACAAAAGTCTCTCCAACTGGGAATGAGTGAACATTTGTACCATCTTCATTTGTTTTACTAATTAGCTCCAGATGTTCAGCTTTATAAAATTACAGAACTCACATAAATCATCTTTGTTGTGTTAGGTTTGTTTCAGTGGTGAAAGTTTTTTTCAGGCTATTTTCATTAGTGTTTCCCCCCCTTACCCCCAAAAAATAAGTGACCCAACCCCAAAGTTTCAAGTACCCCCACCCCACAGAAAAATTTATGAAAAAAAAAAAAACCCACTTGTGGTGAAACTAAGGAATAAAAAAGACTCCTCCTCCCTGGGTTCTATTTTTTGGGCCCACTATATTGGCCTTATATAAATAAATAAATATATATGTATAGGCCATATATATATATATATATATATATATATATATATTATATATATATATGGATATCAATATATATTAGCATGACTTACTAATAATAAATAAAATTATTCCCTTATTTATTTAACCATTATTGTAAAGAATATGCATTATATATTATACTAGGCATACTGCCTAGCTTCGCTTAGGTTTTTAAAAGGCATTTGAGAATTTGAATACTTAATTATTTAGCGATGGATTGGGTGTGGAGTGCTTTAATAAGTTTAATAAGTTTAATTTAAACAGTAATGCTAACTTTAGAAAAAATGTTTTTGTTAGTCATTTACATGCAGATTCGTAAATATTATTGGAAAGTACGCAATGTATAACTAAAATGGAATTAGAACTACACAGGTTTCATGAACAGTATATCTCATAGTTTATATTACATTGCCTTTAGAAATTAATTAATTTATTTAATTAGCATACTTAACTAAATTAACAACTTAATTTTGTACTAAAACAAATGCTATACTTCGTCATTTTCTGTTTCTGTTTAAAATAGTATACAATTATTTGAAAAATAATAATTTTAAAAACGTTACCTCCCTTGAAAACTGAACGTATGACGTATGTCATTGTTTACTTATATTGTTTGCTTATATAAGAAATTACGTTATATGAACATATTTAACGACTATAATGGCTGTTTCCGACGGGAATAAAGTTTTTTTGTTACCCTCCATGGTCGGTCTACGACGTCACATAATATTAAGGGGATCGTTCGTCAATTTATTTATATATATATATATATATATATATATATATATATCTCATATAAGGAGAATTTCACTCAAGATCATCTTTTAGCCCTCGTCGAGGGCTTTGAGTCTGACCAACAGTTTTTCCATACGGCCTAGTCATCTATAGTAGTGTATGCAAAAACTTAGCATGATGTACAGACATTAAGTAACCTAAAAATTGTGTTAAAATTTCCCTGTTTTTCCCATAAAATACAAAGATTATATAGGGAAATACAACTAGTCAGTTTTGACCGCTTTACGAAGTTTTCCCAGAATTGCCGAGTTTTTTATGAAACCCCTAGGTGTTCTTCTACCACCTCACAAAATATCAAGGGGGGTCGTCGGAGGAAATTTTTTTTCGTAATAGAGCTCATATAAAGAGAATTTCACTCGCGGTCACTTTTTAGCCCTCGTCGAGGGCTTTGAGTGTAACCGACAGTTTTCCCTAAAGGTCAAGCCATTGACCTAGGAGCATGCAAAACATTAGCCAGATATACTGAGCTTAAGTACCCTAAAGTCTGCCTTGAAATGACCCTCTGTTTTTCCCATAAAATACAAAGATTATATAGGGAAATACAACTGGTCAGTTTTGACCGCTTTACAAAGTTTTCCCAGATATGCCGAGTTTTTTGTGACACCCCTAGGTATTCTTCTACCACCTCACAAAATATCAAGGGGGGTCGTCGGAGGAAATTTTTTTTCGTAATAGAGCTCATATAAAGAGAATTTCACTCGCGGTCTCTTTTTAGCCCTCGTCGAGGGCTTTGAGTGTGACCGACAGTTTTCCCTAAAGGTCAAGCCATTGACCTAGGAGCATGCAAAAAATTAGCCAGATATACTGAGTTTAAGTACCCTAAAGTCTGCGTTGAAATGACCCTCTGTTTTTCCCATAAAATACAAAGATTATATAGGGAAATACAACTGGTCAGTTTTGACCGCTTTACGAAGTTTTCCCAGATATGCCGAGTTTTTAGTGACACCCCAAGGTGTTCTCCTACCACCTCACAAAATTTCAAGGGGGGTCGTCGGAGGAATTTTTTTTTCGTAATAGAGCTCATATAAAGAGAATTTCACTCGCGGTCACTTTTTAGCCCTCGTCGAGGGCTTTGAGTCAAACCGATAGTTTTCCCTAAAGGCCAAGCCATTCACCTAAGAGTATTCAAAAAATTAGCCAGATATACTGAGTTTAAGTACCCTAAAGTCTGCGTTGAAATGACCCTCTGATTTTCCCATAAAATACAAAGATTATATAGGGAAATACAACTGGTCAGTTATGACCCCTTTACGAAGTTTTCCCAGATATGCCGAGTTTTTTGTGACACCCCAAGGTGTTCTCCTACCACCTCACAAAATTTCAAGGGGGGTCGTCGGAGGAATTTTTTTTTCGTAATAGAGCTCATATAAAGAGAATTTCACTCGCGGTCACATTTTAGCCCTCGTCGAGGGCTTTGAGTGTAACCGACAGTTTTCCCTAAAGTTCAAGCCATTGACCTAGGAGCATGCAAAAAATTAGCCAGATATACTGAGCTTAAGTATCCTAAAGTCTGCGTTGAAATGACCCTCTGTTTTTCCCATAAAATACAAAGATTATATAGGGAAATACAACTGGTCAGTTTTGACCCCTTTACGAAGTTTTCCCAGATATGCCGCGTTTTTTGTGACACCCCAAGGTGTTCTCCTACCACCTCACAAAATTTCAAGGGGGGTCGTCGGAGGAAATTTTTTTTCGTAATAAAGCTCATATAAAGAGAATTTCACTCGCGGTCACTTTTTAGCCCTCGTCGAGGGCTTTGAGTCAAACCGACAGTTTTCCCTAAAGGTCAAGCCATTTACCTAAGAGTATGCAAAAAATTAGCCAGATGTAAAGAGGGTAAGTGCCCTAAAAGCCGTTTTCAAATGACCCTATGTTTTTCCCATAAAATACAAAGATTATATAGGGAAATACGACTGGTCAGTTTTGACCCATTTTCCGATTTTTCCCAGATATGCCGAGTTTTTTGTGACACCCCAAGGCGTTCTCCTAACACCTCACAAAATTTCAAGGGGGGTCGTCGGAGGAAAAATTTTTTCGCAATAGAGCTCATATAAAGAGAATTTCACTCGCGGTCACTTTTTAGCCCTCGTCGAGGGCTTTGAGTGAAACTTACAGGTCTGCCCTACGACCAAGCCATTTACCTATAAACATGCCAAAAATTAGCCAGATGTAAAGAGGGTAAGTTCCCTAAAATCCGTTTTGAAATGACCCTCTGTTTTTCCCATAAAATACAAAGATTATATAGGGAAATACGACTGGTCAGTTTTGACCCATTTCCCGATTTTTCCCGGACATGGCGAGTTTTTTGTGACACCCCAAGGCGTTCTCCTACCACCTCACAAAATTTCAAGGGGGGTCGTCGGAGGAAATTTTTTTTCGTAATATAGCCCATATAAGGCGCCGGGCAGTCGAGGTCAGTTTTGACCCCCTGTCCGTAGACTTTTCGGCCAACCGTATTCGGCCTTCGTGTTCTATCGCCCGAAGGCACCATCGTGCCAAATTTGACGCGCCTGCGGCGCCGGGAAGTGCCCTATCGGGCACCTGACCACTTTGCTTTATATATATAGATAAGTAATATAAGATAACAATACACACAAAATAAGGACCAAACTCTTTTCTTTAGGGCTTCAAATAATCCCATTTTTAAAAAATCTGAAATTCATTTATTTTTCAAACTCATTTTATTATATATCTAGCTGTCTAAAAAAAACTAAAATCATCAAAAAGTGAAAATATAAATCTGGCATGCCGGAATTACGGCCCACTAAACGCTGCAAGTGCAAGGACAATTTTGAACTGCTAGATCTATAGCATACATGAACACTTGTATTACAATGAAGTTGGAACTGAAAATGTCTACTTACATGCACATCATCAATTGGCGCAGTTAGCAGACTAATGACTACTGTCACCAGGGTGACGATGACAAAAAGTATGATTCCAAAATGGAGGTAATGGACTTTACTGATAATGTCCGGCTTTTCAGATTTGTATTCCTCCCCGCATGGATAGTTTGTGTAGGCATATTCCCAGGCAAACCGTACCAAGCCAACTACCAGACCTACCATTAAACCCCAAAAAGCACCCTGGAAAAAATACAAATGGTTTCTTCATTTTAATATTCACACTTAAAAAGAAAAAAATCAAATTAATTACAAACCTTAGTTTAGCGTTGATTATTATCCCGGATTGGTATAGCAATAAAAAATGAAATCTGTCACACAGTTCCGAAATCCACGGAAATACTGTAAACCATACTGCTTTGAATGATATTAACTATTATTTAGACTCTCACTATTGTATGTCATTATACTGTACTTAGAGTGAGGGTACAAATTACAAATGTTGCTTCATTTTATGAGGCCTAATTAATGGACACCAGCGAGAAAAGTCTCAAAGGTATTTGAGAGGTGTATAAATTCATTTAAAAATCATGCACAGCGTAGTTACAATTAATATGGTTATAAAATCCTGTCTATCTGGTTTTTTTCGGACTTTACTAAAGATTGGATGTATTTGATGTTTATAATATTTTCGGTAACTAAATAAAAAAAAAAAAAAAGCAAAAACAATTTGGTTTTCACGTGTAATGGCGACATAAACAATGGCATCCTGCTATTGGATAGGCCGCCATTGATTTTATTGTACACATTGTAAGCTAAAAATAGAAAACTAGGTCATGGGGTTTTAAATTTGCATTGTTATTTAAAAACTTGATCTGCAAAGTTTTGTAAACAAATAGTTATCGATCACTAAGTTACTGTACAGCCAATCAATATTTGTCTTACGAAAGTGAAACATCCGGTTATAACTTAGGCTTGATGAAAATAAATAGAAATGTAGCCTTAAACTCAACAAATTATTTTCAAGTTCTCTGGATTTGCAACTTTTATAGCATTTATTCTAAAAATATAAAATTTCTAAATTAATTTTAGGCTTAAGTTTTTATTTTTTATTTATTTTTACGGTCTAAATCTAAAAAGCACGTTTTTATTCCATGTCAACAACATTGGGGACGGAATCTCGTCAACTCGCTTGTCTCCATTAGTCGCTAAACCATCTGTATGAAGTCTGGAACTTTTCCAAAAAAAGTCTGCTTTTCTTTTCACAATAGTGTACGAACCCTGATCCTACTCTAGTCATTTGTACTATTTTTGTAATCATTTTGGATAGGCCTAGCAGCTACCTAGATCTAGAGTAAAGTGGCGTCTGCGGACAGACGTAGCAAAAAAATCGGCACTCCTGATTTCCATAGAGCACCATTCAGTAACCGTTTCACATAGAAACAAACCGAAAGTACTGTGTTATTCCGCATTTTTTCTAGTTTAATCACGTATGAGTCATTTTGTATTCATACGCATAGCATTGGATGTATTAACATTTTTAGTGGTGAGACTCTAAGCGCACTTTTGAAAAAATATTATTTGCTGTGCGCACACTTGCTACTTAAGAGGATATGCGCATTTTTTTCCTACGTTTTACAATTTAATATCTAAAGCCTTTTGAATACTTTTATCATGTTTGGCATATAAAAGTAAGTATTAAACAGCAAAAAAAAAGGGTTGAAAACAATTTTGGTTGTCATGGAAACCCAAAAAAACCTCCGCCAATTTGAATTTTTTGGTACTTTTAAAAATGCTAAGGCTTTTTTATTTATGCACCTTTAGCAATCAAATTTAAACTGATCATATTTCAGTATATATTAAAACTTTTGTCACGAAAACTTTTTGAAATAGCTACTAGTAAGAATTTTACAAAGTCTAAAAAATCGTCTCATTTTAGTTTTCAAATGTTTCAAAATTTGCATATTTATTACCAAATACTTTTTTCTATGAAAGCTATCATAATTCCCTCGTGACAAAAGTTGTATTTTTGCATGAAGAACAATTACTGAAAATATGGTGGCGATTGTTTAATAAATAAAAAAGTAGTAGGCTTTATAGTGTTAAAGAGAAAAAAATTTTTTTAGGTGTTTAAGTTACCATTTTTATGACCCTATTAATTAAAAAATATTCAATTTTTCCCAATCTTACACGCTCTCTATGAAAAGTTTTATATCCCTCATCATATTGTATTTGGCACCATCTGAAAGCTGGATTTCTCCTTTATTTGATAATTTTAATTTCCATCATCTTGCAAACACCCAAAGCTTACAATCGGCTTTGCAGTTTACACAGATATGTTATTTTTGTGACCTACTTTTCGTTACTTTTGGCCGCCCGACACCGTTAATGTCCCGTAACGCCCGCTGCCGCCCGCTTACAATACGCATAGAAAAATTAAATTTGTTTCATTAAAATTTGGCCTACAAATCCTAATTTTTAACTAAACAGGAAGTCGGATAGTTGCAGCATCCTTTTCCGGTCTTCTAATTTCAATGGCGCTTTTGAAAGATAAAAAATAATAGTTTCTTTCTATCTCGAAATTTTAGATTCATCTGTCCTATTTTTAGTAGATTTAATATTAAAAATAAAATAAAATAATGCCTCTAAACGTATCTAGGCATGTATTTTATGAATTATATATCTTAAACGTAACCAAATTGATATTTAACTGTTAAATTCGATGCATAGTTGTTTAGACAAAAATAAATAAAGTTGACTACCAAAAATGACCTGTTTTGAATTTTCTCCGACATTTTTTATTTTTATACTGTACTTTTACCGAATATAATATATTCTATTTAATACTGTTGGAAAGCCAGGTTTATTCCCAACACTAAGCAGTACTTTTTATCTTAATTTTCAATTTCATTTAGACAAAAACAAATATTTTGTGAAACTATTCACTTGATCATACAGAGTTATGCTCCTTGCATTGGGCCGTCATGGGTGGAGTTTTGGTAGAATGAACGGGACATTAATGGTTAAAGTTATTATTTTCTTAATACAAAAATGGACAAAGTTTCCAAAAGTGCAAGAAACCCATCAGGACAAGAAACAAGAAATTTTCTGATTTTTTGCCGTGCATATCTCCATAAGCGGACAAAGCATATTTTGTTCGTTTTGCTTCTATTTAAATAATTGAAATAAATATGTGAAACATATCAATAGTGTTGTTGATTGTTTTATAAATTAATATATTGGAAAACAAAAAATATGAAGAAATATGAAATAAGTAACATCTAGACTAGAATTTTTCTAAACCGAGATATAGAAATACAACATCAATTTACAGTTATTAAACATGCAGCGTAGAAATTTAGAAGCCGCTTCTCTTACTGATAATTGTTTGATTTGATGGTTACTATGGCAGTTTTAACAATTTCAGGGTCATGTGAGACCAGATCAGTGTTTCTTCCAGACTGTTTTCTCCGGGGGGGGGGGGGGGGGCACTTGATATTTTGAAGAGGAGGGGTGGGGGGTTGACACTGATAAAAGTATTTGTTTTCTATATAAATTATAAATTCTATATAAAGAGATGCCTGGAAGAAACTCAGGACCCGATTGAGATTTTATTTTACTTTTTGCTTGGTGGTAGACATGTTTGTAGAGATTGATGATGGTCTAAAATATTTTTAAATCATATAAACATTTTAAAAAAAACTTATAGATTTAGACTTAGATTTAAATATAGATCTAGAGTATCAAGATTATTTCAAAGCTCCTTTTTACTTAAAGTGTAAGTAATATACTCTGATTTTTCGTTTGGTGTCAGCAAAAGGTTAACCCTCCAAAAAGTATATCCTCTGAAGTGGACACCCCAATTTTTCTTCAAAGATAGTTTAAATAACCTTAACTATGATATTTATAGCTTTCTATATATATATATATATATATATATATATATATATATATATATATATATATATATATATATATATATATATTTATAGTTAACCCAGTTCTATAAGGTATGATTGGTTTGATTTATTCCTCTAATCCGGGGCCTAGTGCTCTTCATCTGGGTGATGTTACCTACATAAAATGTCATATCTTGCAACTTTGAAAAATTCCAATAGAATTCTATAGGAGTAAAATAAAAGGACTTGACGGACATGCAGTAGTTTATACAATTATTATAGTAAACAAAAAGCAGCAAGGTGCCCGCACGGGAGAAACTGTCCGCATACACCACTTTACTCTAGTTCTAATTAATTGTCACAAATCCTCTGCAAGTCAAAAACATTAAACTTAAACAATAAACTACTTTATTATTTATATATTTTATTTATTTTTAGATCTACGAATTTAAATCTACTCTAATATTTATTCCTGTTTACTTATGTTGATTAAACTTAAAAAATTAAAAAGATTAATTTATTACAATCGATTTTATTTTGTATTTCAATGTGGACCGCAACAGGTGACACCATTTAGGGGGGTGACACCAAGACAAAAAAATTGCAATATATACAGAATAAATATGTTTTTTGCCAGTACAATAGTTGATTAATTAGAGTCAAAAAGTGAAGGGAGGGGGTGGGGGTGACACCATGATGTAAAGATGCAAACTATAGAGAAAACAATGCTACATCCAGCTGCATAAACGACCAACTATAGATAAACATCATTATAATTAAATGTGAACACTTCAAAGCTGTTACGGGGGGGGGGGGTGACACCAACTGCAAAATGTACAGATAAAAAAATGAGGGGGGGGTGACACCATGAGATGCTGCAGTGGGTGACAACCGACCTAGCGACGCCACTGCCCTACATTAGGTCTCTTATACAGACTCGTTTTTCAATGTTGGCTACTGTCCTGGTCATTCGCAGCTTGGGGTTTGAATGCCGTGTACACAGTCCCAGAGGTCACATGACATGGGAAACACTGCTCACCGAAGAACTTAATAAAATACTTAAAAAAAACTTTTTAAAAAACCACGTTTTTCTTGTGGACTAAAAAGTAGAAAATAAATTTTTCTTTTGTTCTTCCTCGAGCTGTGCAGGTTCTTGTGATGACTGACAAAAAACGTGGGTACGTTCACCATCAAATTTCCCGACCCATCTGCCCGACCCACGTTTTTTGTCAGTCATCACAAGAACCTGCACAGCTCGAGGAAGCACAAAAGAAAAATTTATTTTCTACTTTTTAGTCCACAAGAAAAACGTGTTTTTTTTAAAAAGTTTTTTAAAAGTATTTTATTTTCTCCTTTTTAGTCCTTTGCTACACATGAAAAACGTGGTTTTTAAAAAGTTTTTTATATAGTTTATTTTCTACTTTATCTAATGACTTAATTAGTTTTGACTTGACTAAGTGTTTATAAATACACGGACTAAAAATCTTGAGCGACCGATACGCTTTAAACAGAGAAAGGGCGTAATTTAATTAAGCCTACATGCCGTGACCAGGATTCGAACCTGGGTTGTCGCGGCCATCACCCGAAGTACTAACCACTATACGATCACGGCCAGCGCGCTCACATCGATTGGGGCCGAAGTAACTGTGTCAATAGGCCTCCAGTCTTGTCGGTATGTTTAGAAATCATGTCCTCGATTTTATGGTCCTTGGGGCGTAATTTAATTAAACTAATGTAGGTCTCTAATTGCTAGTTTTTATGATTGCATCTGAAATTGTTAGGCGAAAATAGCCTGCATTCCAAATTTCAGATCTCTAGAGCAATCAGAAGTGGGCTAATTTTCGATGTCAATTTTAACAACAAACATCCAAACAAACAAACGCGAAGCTGAGTTAAGAAAAACGTGTTAAAAAGTAACATCAACAGTCCCTGTCTGTGGGACCCATAGTATGTGTTATACATAAGAAATTAATTAGTCATTCAGTTAAGTCAATTGACCCACGGGCCAAATTTAAAAGAAATTGGTCGGTTAGAAGTGCCTGAAATTTTCATCGCCTGTTTTGATCTATACAGACACTGAGACAGGATTAAGACAGACAGAGGAAGCAAGTTCAATAAAAGCTTGTAAAAAGGATATGAAACTTGTACTTTTAGATTTTCTTGAAGAGGATAAAGTTGGGATATGTTATTAATAATTTGCATGAAAAGGTTTTTATTGTGATACCTTAAATCCTAACCCCATGAAGCCCAACTCTAATCCCAATCCTAAAGGCGGATAAGAAATTGTTTTTATGGTGTGATTTAAATATTCAAATGTCTAGTCATCAGAAATAGGTCACAAGTGGTGAGGCTTAACATTTTTGATGAGCACTTTTTGCAGTAGTGGCGGGGCTTATCAAGGCAAGATCCGGTTACAGGCCTTATTGTCGCATTGGGATAATATAATACAATATTAACATATTAAAATTCTTGTAACAAACCAAAATATTGTATTAACAAAAAGCTTTGATTCTGATTGGTAGGAAGATGTACAATTAGGAAACAAAGATGTACAAATATTACTTACATGCTCATTGGTTCTTTTCCAAAAAATAGCCAGGACATAGACGGAACATATGGGTGGAGCTAAAAAACTGGTGATAGCCTGGATGTAATGGAAGAGTTCCGTGACGCTCTGCACCACAGGGATCCACACAATGCCAACACCCACCAGTATAAGCACACACAGTCTGTACAGACATACAGCTGGCTACAATAAGCTCACTTTAAAGTAGAGCAAGGTCACTTACAGCTACAAGAAGGTCGTTTCATAGCACAACAAGCTCACTTTATATCAGAGCAAGGTAACTAAGGTATAAAAAGATTATTTTATATACCAGAACAAGGTTATTTTATGGTACAACGTCTTTTTATATCAGAACATGGTCATTTTATAGCAGAACGTGATCACTTTATCATACTTTATGGTACAATAAGGTCATTTTATAGCAAAACAAGGTAACTCAAGTAACTGTATGTATGGTAAAAAAAAGTCACTTTACCATAAGGTCACTTTACAGTGGAACAACGTCACTTTACTTCTAAATCTCTATCATGAGCTCCACCTCTCTACCTGCCAACTAGAGCCCCACCTCTCTACCTGCCAACTAGAGCCCCACCTCTACCTGCCAACTAGAGCCCCCCTCTCTACCTGCCAACTAGAGCCCCACCTCTCTACCTGCCAACTAGAGCCCCACCTCTCTACCTGCCAACTAGAGCCCCACCTCTCTACCTGCCAACTAGAGCCCCACCTCTCTACCTGCCAACTAGAGCCCCACCTCTCTACCTGCCAACTATCATGAGCCCCACCTCTCTACCTGCCAACTAGAGCCCCACCTCTCTACCTGCCAACTAGAGCCCCACTTCTCTACCTGCCAACTATCATGAGCCCCCACCTCTCTACCTGCCAACTATCATGAGCCACACACCTCTCTATCTGCCAACTAGAGCCCCACCTCTCTACCTGCCAACTAGAGCCCCACCCCTCTACCTGCCAACTATCATGAGCTCCACCTCTCTACCTGCCAACTATCATGAGCCCCACCTCTCTACCTGCCAACTATCATGAGCCCCACCTCTACCTGCCAACTAGAGCCCCACCTCTCTACCTGCCAACTAGAGCCCCACCTCTCTACCTGCCAACTATCATGAGCCCCACCTCTCTACCTGCCAACTAGAGCCCCACCTCTCTACCTGCCAACTATCATGAGCCCCACCTCTCTACCTGCCAACTATCATGAGCCCCACCTCTCTACCTGCCAACTATCATGAGCCCCCACCTCTCTACCTGCCAACTAGAGCCCCACCTCTCTACCTGCCAACTATCATGAGCCCCACCTCTCTACCTGCCAACTATCATGAGCCCCACCTCTCTACCTGCCAACTAGAGCCCCACCTCTCTACCTGCCAACTATCATGAGCCCCACCTCTCTACCTGCCAACTAGAGCCCCACCTCTCTACCTGCCAACTAGAGCCCCACCTCTCTACCTGCCAACTAGAGCCCCACCTCTCTACCTGCCAACTATCATGAGCCCCACCTCTACCTGCCAACTAGAGCCCCACCTCTCTACCTGCCAACTAGAGCCCCACCTCTCTACCTGCCAACTAGAGCCCCACCTCTCTACCTGCCAACTATCATGAGCCCCACCTCCCTACCTGCCAACTAGAGCCCCACCTCTCTACCTGCCAACTAGAGCCCCACCTCTCTACCTGCCAACTAGAGCCCCACCTCTCTACCTGCCAACTATCATAAGCCCCACCTCTCTACCTGCCAACTAGAGCCCCACCTCTCTACCAACTATCATGAGCCCCACCTCTCTACCTGCCAACTAGAGCCCCACCTCTCTACCAACTATCATGAGCCCCACCCCTCTACCTGCCAACTATCATGAGCCCCACCTCTCTACCTGCCAACTAGAGCCCCACCTCTACCTGCCAACTATCATGAGCTCCATCTCTCTACCTGCCAACTAGAGCCCCACCTCTCTACCTGCCAACTAGAGCCCCACCTCTGTACCTGCCAACTATCATGAGCCCCACCTCTCTACCGGCCAACTAGAGCCCCACCTCTCTACCTGCCAACTAGAGCCCCACCTCTCTACCTGCCAACTAGAGCCCCACCTCTCTACCTGCCAACTATCATGAGCCCCACCTCTCTACCTGCCAACTAGAGCCCCACCTCTCTACCTGCCAACTAGAGCCCCACCTCTCTACCTGCCAACTAGAGCCCCACCTCTCTACCTGCCAACTATCATAAGCCCCACCTCTCTACCTGCCAACTAGAGCCCCACCTCTCTACCAACTATCATGAGCCCCACCTCTCTACCTGCCAACTAGAGCCCCACCTCTCTACCTGCCAACTAGAGCCCCACCTCTCTACCTGCCAACTATCATGAGCTCCACCTCTCTACCTGCCAACTAGAGCCCCACCTCTCTACCTGCCAACTAGAGCCCCACCTCTCTACCTGCCAACTAGAGCCCCACCTCTCTACCTGCCAACTATCATGAGCCCCACCTCTCTACCTGCCAACTAGAGCCCCACCTCTCTACCTGCCAACTATCATGAGCCCCACCTCTCTACCTGCCAACTATCATGAGCTCCACATCAGAGGAAGTTTTCCTGATGCGCCTCCAGATGTCCATAGTGAAGATGGTGCTGCTGCTGTTGAAGATGGAGGTCAAGGAGGAGATGAGGGCGGACATCATGACAGCCAGCATCAGCCCCCGCAGGCCGTCCGGCATCAACTCCAGCACCAGGGTCGGGAAGGCGATGTTGCTGCAGCTGTCCTGACCACACACTTTCTGGCACACCTCGGGGTCAGCGCAGCCCACACGGTCTAGGGCAGACAGAGAACTATCAATGTCTAGGGCAGACAGAGAACTATCAATGTCTAGGGCAGACAGAGAACTATCAATGTCTAGGGCAGACAGAGAACTATCAATGTCTAGGGCAGACAGAGAACTATCAAGGGCAGACAGAGAACTATCAATGTCTAGGGCAGACAGAGAACTATCAATGTCTAGGGCAGACACAGAACTATCAATGTCTAGGGCAGACAGAGAACTATCAAGGGCAGATAGAGAACTATCAATGTCTAGGGCAGACAGAGAACTATCAATGTCTAGGGCAGACAGAGAACTATCAATGTCTAGGGCAGACACAGAACTATCAATGTCTAGGGCAGACACAGAACTATCAATGTCTAGGGCAGACAGAGAACTATCAATGTCTAGGGCAGACAGAGAACTATCAATGTCTAGGGCAGACAGAGAACTATCAATGTCTAGGGCAGACACAGAACTATCAATGTCTAGGGCAGACAGAGAACTATCAATGTCTAGGGCAGACAGAGAACTATCAATGTCTAGGGCAGACAGAGAACTGTCAATGTCTAGGGCAGACAGAGAACTATCAATGTCTAGGGCAGAGAGAGAACTATCAATGTCTAGGGCAGACAGAGAACTATCAATGTCTAGGGCAGACAGAGAACTATCAATGTCTAGGGCCGAAGAACCTGTGTAATCTAGTCTAGGTTAAAGATCAAAAGTGTAAAAGCATTGGGGGGGGGGGGGGGGGGAGGGCGAAGGGAGTTTATTGATGTCAATTCAAATTCATATACCAAGTCTTCAGCTTTTTGAGTCCCCATTTTATCCAGTCTGTGTGCTATAAATAGAAACTAATAAACGCTACACTTTGATTTTATGACACTCCAAATTTTATCGTGAATGTACCTGTGTAAACTTATGATCGTTAATGTACTTGTGTAAACCTACCACCTTGAATGTACCTGTGTAAACTTATGATCGTTAATGTACCTGTGTAAACCTACCACCTTGAATGTACCTGTGTAAACCTACCGCCTTGAATGTACCCGTGTAAACCTACCACCTTGAATGTACCTGTGTAAACCTACCGCCTTGAATGTACCTTTGTAAACCTACCGCCTTGAATGTACCTGTGTAAACCTACCACCTTGAATGTACCTGTGTAAACCTACCACCTTGAATGTACCTGTGTAAACCTACCACCTTGAATGTACCTGTGTAAACCTACCACCTTGAATGCACCTGTGTAAACCTACCACCTTGAATGTACCTGTGTAAACCTACCACCTTGAATGTACCTGTGTAAACCTACCACCTTGAATGTACCTGTGTAAACCTACCACCTTGAATGTACCTGTGTAAACCTACCACCTTGAATGTACCTGTGTAAACCTACCACCTTGAATGTACCTGTGTAAACCTACCACCTTGAATGCACCTGTGTAAACCTACCACCTTGAATGTACCTGTGTAAACCTACCACCTTGAATGTACCTGTGTAAACCTACCACCTTGAATGCACCTGTGTAAACCTACCACCTTGAATGTACCTGTGTAAACCTACCACCTTGAATGTACCTGTGTAAACCTACCACCTTGAATGTACCTGTGTAAACCTACCACCTTGAATGTACCTGTGTAAACCTACCACCTTGAATGTACCTGTGTAAACCTACCACCTTGAATGTACCTGTGTAAACCTACCACCTTGAATGTACCTGTGTAAACCTACCACCTTGAATGTACCTGTGTAAACCTACCACCTTGAATGTACCTGTGTAAACCTACCACCTTGAATGTACCTGTGTAAACCTACCACCTTGAATGTACCTGTGTAAACCTACCACCTTGAATGTACCTGTGTAAACCTACCACCTTGAATGTACCTGTGTAAACCTACCACCTTGAATGTACCTGTGTAAACCTACCTGTATAAAGTACTCTGGCGATCATCCCTGGGAAGACAATCAGCCACATGGGGAGGAACTTGAGGTAGCCGGCTAGCAGACAGCCAGCTTTAGCGTGGGAAAGATTTTTTGCTGCTAAAGCTCTTTGTACGATCACCTGGCCGTGAATAAATTATGTGGGCACGTGTCATCAAATAGCAGACTAACGCAGACGCATGAAATAATACAAATAGCAGACTAACGCAGACGCATGAAATAATACAAATAGCAGACTAACGCAGACGCATGAAATAATATTTCAAATATCCAATACTAAAATTAAAAGGCGCTGCTGAGTTGCTGCAAATAAAATGTTGTAGTGGCGCGTCATCACCATCTTAAAGCGTCCAATGAGCCTAGCCCTCCTTCTTCTTCTTCGTTCTTAATTTTAAGTGTTGGAAGGGATCGAGCCTTGTCTTCCAGAGGGTTTGAACTCGAGACTTTTTTTTTCGAATTTATCAACTATGACCTTTTGCCGACTCGACCGCGCCTCCATCACAATTAAGGCTTAAGGATTACGTGTCAACTGGTTATGCGCCATTGAGGCCATTGACTCCGATTTCAGCCTGCTTCTCTTTTTGGATTTGCTTCCATAGCCTTTGTCCAACCAAGAACAAACTACAAGGCAGCAGTTGTTTGATTTTGGAGTTGTCTCTCATAGAAGAGTGGCTGGCCCGAGGGTTCGAACTCGAGACTTCTCGGTTTAGCAACCATGAGCTTTAACCGACTCGACCACGCCGACCCCTAGCCTAGCCCTAAAGTACCTGATCTAAACACCAGTACCTGATCTAAACACCAGTACCTGATCTAAACACCAGTACCTGATCTGAACACCAGTACCTGATCTAAACACCAGTACCTGATCTAAACACCAGTACCTGATCTAAACACCAGTACCTGATCTAAACACCAGTACCTGATCTAAACACCAGTACCTGATCTAAACACCAGTACCTGATCTGAACACAACACCAGTACCTGATCTAAACACCAGTACCTGATCTAAACACCAGTACCTGATCTAAACACCAGTACCTGATCTGAACACCAGTACCTGATCTAAACACCAGTACCTGATCTAAACACCAGTACCTGATCTAAACACCAGTACCTGATCTAAACACCAGTACCTGATCTAAACACCAGTACCTGATCTAAACACCAGTACCTGATCTAAACACCAGTACCTGATCTAAACACCAGTACCTGATCTGAACACAACACCAGTACCTGATCTAAACACCAGTACCTGATCTAAACACCAGTACCTGATCTAAACACCAGTACCTGATCTAAACACCAGTACCTGATCTGAACACCAGTACCTGATCTAAACACCAGTACCTGATCTAAACACCAGTACCTGATCTGAATACCAGTACCTGATCTGAACACAACACCAGTACCTGATCTAAACACCAGTACCTGATCTAAACACCAGTACCTGATCTAAACACCAGTACCTGATCTAAACACCAGTACCTGATCTGAACACCAGTACCTGATCTAAACACCAGTACCTGATCTAAACACGAGTACCTGATCTAAACACCAGTACCTGATCTGAACACCAGTACCTGATCTAAACACCAGTACCTGATCTAAACACCAGTACCTGATCTGAACACCAGTACCTGATCTAAACACCAGTACCTGATCTAAACACCAGTACCTGATCTAAACACCAGTACCTGATCTGAACACCAGTACCTGATCTGAACACCAGTACCTGATCTAAACACAACACCAGTACCTGATCTAAACACCAGTACCTGATCTAAACACCAGTACCTGATCTAAACACCAGTACCTGATCTGAACACCAGTACCAGACGGACGAGATGGTCAGGCCGACAAAAACACCTGGCCAGGGAAGGTTCCCATCATCAGCCGAGCGAACAAAGTTGTACGAGTTGCTGGGGGGCACGCCGCAGTTGGTGTACGAGTAGTTGTCGTCCTTCCCCAGATGCTGGAGCGTCGTGTTGGGGTAGGAAGAAAAGTAGCGATGTCGGAGTTCTTCGTAGCCACCCACTTTCACAAACCCTGCCAGATGACACGTTTGTTGACACAAGTCAAGTTTGTTGACACAAGTCAAGTTTGTTGACACAAGTCAAGTTTGTTGACACAAGTCAAGTTTGCCGACCTACCCACACGTCAAGTTTGTTGACCTACCCACACGTCAAGTTTTGACCTACCCACACGTCAAGTTTGTTGACCTACCCACACGTCAAGTTTATTGACTTACCCACACGTCAAGTTTTGACCTACCCACACGTCAAGTTTGTTGACCTACCCACACGTCAAGTTTAGCTTGCTGATGCTGACCTACCCATTATCATCAAAACAAAAGCTCCAACCACCATGATGATCGTTTGAATAAAATCTGTCCAAATAACTGCAGTTAGACCACCTGTAAAAATATAAAATCCCACAAATACATATATATACATATATATACAAGCTGTATGTCATTGCTTCGCAATGATGTAAAATAAATTAAAAGTAGTACTCTGAAGAAATAGAACAAACACACAATGTAGGCCGACAAAACAAAACAATTTATCAATCTAAACAAACAAAAAAAAACTAAATATATACAAAATACAACCAAAAACAACGAACGCAATACAATCCGTTTTGTAATCCTTGTAACTTGTAAAAAAAAATAATTTGACATAATAATTTCTGGAATATTAATTAAGACTAGCGAACTAGGGGAAATAATCACTCCCTTAAAGTTAATATAGATATGTATATTATTCCTACACATTTAATTGTAAATATCAAAACAGATCAATAATAACTTAAGTACGTAATAAACTAGCTTAACACTATTCGTTTTTACAAAAATATGTTGTTTACAATCAGAATTAAATATATCGTCATCATAAATGCTAAAATATTACAGCATAATGAAAGTTTTTAAAATCAGAGTTGGTATAAAACCACGATTTTCAAAATATATAGAATAAATACTTTAAAAAAACTTTAAAAAAAACCACGTTTTTCTTGTGGGCTAAAATTTTAAAAAGTAGAAAATAAATTTTTCTTCCGACCCTAGGGGATCTACCAATGACTGCTCGTAGAGTTTGTGCTTCCTCGAGCTGTGCAGGTTCTTGTGATGGGGGGGGGGGGGGGGGGGGTTCAACTTCATTCACCATTGTCCGGTCACTTTAGATCTATCATCTTACCCAGCGTACACCTAGGTGTGACATTAATGTCGCTCTACACAATTACGGCCTGTCCCGTTGTGGAGGTGAGGGGGGAGGGGAGATAATGAACTCAGAGTGAACATAGCGTCAGTTTTTAGATGACTGTTCTAAACATACATATACAATTATACATATATACTGATTCTGAAATAACTTTAAATAAGTAACAGTGGTATTATAAAAATAATTTTTTACAGAGGGGTCCATGGGGGGGGGGGGGGTTGCCGCCTACGCCCAGGAGCCCCACACAATTGAAACGGCAGCTATGGCACCTGTAGGCGGGAGTCTTGCCGTGGCGCTGCTGGCTGGTGTCATCCAATTGTTTGTAAACAATTGAAACGGCAGCTATGGCACTTGTAGGCGGGAGTCTTGCCGTGGCGCTGCTGGCTGGTGTCATCCAATTGTTTGTAAACAATTGAAACGGCAGCTATGGCACCTGTAGGCGGGAGTCTTGCCGTGGCGCTGCTGGCTGGTGTCATCCAATTGTTTGTAAACAATTGAAACGGCAGCTATGGCACCTGTAGGCGGGAGTCTTGCCGTGGCGCTGCTGGTTGGTGTCATCCAATTGTTTGTAAACAATTGAAACGGCAGCTATGGCACCTGTAGGCGGGAGTCTTGCCGTGGCGCTGCTGGTTGGTGTCATCCAATTGTTTGTAAACAATTGAAACGGCAGCTATGGCACCTGTAGGCGGGAGTCTTGCCGTGGCGCTGCTGGTTGGTGTCATCCAATTGTTTGTAAACAATTGAAACGGCAGCTATGGCACTTGTAGGCGGGAGTCTTGCCGTGGCGCTGCTGGTTGGTGTCATCCAATTGTTTGTAAACAATTGAAACGGCAGCTATGGCACTTGTAGGCGGGAGTCTTGCCGTGGCGCTGCTGGTTGGTGTCATCCAATTGTTTGTAAACAATTGAAACGGCAGCTATGGCACCTGTAGGCGGGAGTCTTGCCGTGGCGCTGCTGGTTGGTGTCATCCAATTGTTTGTAAACAATTGAAACGGCAGCTATGGCACTTGTAGGCGGGAGTCTTGCCGTGGCGCTGCTGGTTGGTGTCATCCAATTGTTTGTAAACAATTGAAACGGCAGCTATGGCACCTGTAGGCGGGAGTCTTGCCGTGGCGCTGCTGGTTGGTGTCATCCAATTGTTTGTAAACAATTGAAACGGCAGCTATGGCACTTGTAGGCGGGAGTCTTGCCGTGGCGCTGCTGGTTGGTGTCATCCAATTGTTTGTAAACAATTGAAACGGCAGCTATGGCACCTGTAGGCGGGAGTCTTGCCGTGGCGCTGCTGGTTGGTGTCATCCAATTGTTTGTAAACAATTGAAACGGCAGCTATGGCACTTGTAGGCGGGAGTCTTGCCGTGGCGCTGCTGGTTGGTGTCATCCAATTGTTTGTAAACAATTGAAACGGCAGCTATGGCACTTGTAGGCGGGAGTCTTGCCGTGGCGCTGCTGGTTGGTGTCATCCAATTGTTTGTAAACAATTGAAACGGCAGCTATGGCACCTGTAGGCGGGAGTCTTGCCGTGGCGCTGCTGGTTGGTGTCATCCAATTGTTTGTACACAATTGAAACGGCAGCTATGGCACCTGTAGGCGGGAGTCTTGCCGTGGCGCTGCTGGTTGGTGTCATCCAATTGTTTGTAAACAATTGAAACGGCAGCTATGGCACCTGTAGGCGGGAGTCTTGCCGTGGCGCTGCTGGCTGGTGTCATCCAATTGTTTGTACACAATTGAAACGGCAGCTATGGCACCTGTAGGCGGGAGTCTTGCCGTGGCGCTGCTGGCTGGTGTCATCCAATTGTTTGTAAACAATTGAAACGGCAGCTATGGCACTTGTAGGCGGGAGTCTTGCCGTGGCGCTGCTGGTTGGTGTCATCCAATTGTTTGTAAACAATTGAAACGGCAGCTATGGCACCTGTAGGCGGGAGTCTTGCCGTGGCGCTGCTGGTTGGTGTCATCCAATTGTTTGTAAACAATTGAAACGGCAGCTATGGCACCTGTAGGCGGGAGTCTTGCCGTGGCGCTGCTGGCTGGTGTCATCCAATTGTTTGTAAACAATTGAAACGGCAGCTATGGCACCTGTAGGCGGGAGTCTTGCCGTGGCGCTGCTGGCTGGTGTCATCCAATTGTTTGTACACAAAGGGGCTACAATCATGGGGTTTTGTTTCATGTAAAGAACATGAATACAATTGTTTGTAAACAAAGGGGCTACAAACTACTATCATGGGGTTTTGTTTAATGTAAAAAAAAATGAATCCAATTGACCTCCAATAGTGAAGAGGGCAGCCACTGCCAGCAGGATTATGATTGCCACATACAGGTTCAACTCGGGCATGGCTTGAGTCAGGAAAATGGCCCCAGAGTAGAGGTCAGCCTAGGGGATTAACAGATTAAAGAGATCAGCCTAGGGGATTAACAGATTAAAGAGATCAGCCTAGGGGATTAACAGATTAAAGAGATCAGTCTAGGCGATTAACAGATTAAAGAGATGAGATTCATAATGGCCCCAGAGTAGAGATCAGTCTAGGGGATTAACAGATTAAAGAGATGAGATTCATAATGGCCCCAGAGTAGAGATCAGCCTAGGAGATTAACAGATTAAAGAGATGAGATTCATAATGGCCCCGGAGTAGAGATCAGCCTAGGGGATTAAAAGATTAAAGAGATGAGATTCATAATGGCCCCAGAGTAGAGATCAGCCTAGTGGATTAAAAGATTAAAGAGATCAGCCTAGGGGATTAACAGATTAAAGAGATGAGATTCATAATGGCCCCGGAGTAGAGATCAGCCTAGGGGATTAACAGATTAAAGAGATCAGCCTAGGGGATTAACAGATTAAAGAGATGAGATTCATAATGGCCCCAGAGTAGAGATCATCATAGGAGATTAACAGATTAAATGATTAAAGAGATCAGCCTAGGAGATTAATATATTAAAAAGATCAGCCTAGGAGATTAAAAGGTTAAAGAGATCAGCCTAGGAGATTAACAGATTAGAGAGATGAGATTCATTTTTTACGGCAAGCATTTTTTTTAAATATTTTTTTAATGTAAGATTTAAAAAAAAAAAAGAGTTAACTATAAAACCGCCTTCTAAATTTTGCTGCCAATAGCGACTTTGATGATACGTACTGAAATCTTGGTGAAGACGTATAAAATCAGGGCTAGCACGGACAAGTAGATCCTGATTCTCTGGCCCCCAAAACGTTTCCTCAAGTATTCCGGCATGGTAAACACCTGTACATTCAAGGTTTTTAAATTAGTGTGTAGTGGTGTGGAAGTATTATGGGGCGAATGTTTTTATTATTTTTTACCTAGTTAGGTGGTGTTTTTTGTAGTTTTGTTTCATTTATTATAACTAAACAAATTAAACACAAATGTAGCGCCGTTTTTACTTTCTCGTATACGAAGTATAGCGGAAATATTTTAATCGTGTAGAAAAATAGAGATTTTCACAAATCTCGACGTTTTACACGTCCCTGAATCGGAAAAGCATTCTTTTACAATTTTGTCCTTATATTTGTATGTGTCTGTCTGTCAACACGATCACTTGAGTACTGCTACAGCTAGGTCGATTAAATTTCATATGTAAATATTATATCAAATTTGTAGTTCTGTTTCAAGTTTTCAGCAATTTCCGGTAACCGGAAGTGGAACTTTTCTACTTTAAATTTTTTAAAAGCCTATAACTTGAGTAATGTTTCAGATAGATATATGAAACTTCAGATGTAAGTAAAAGATCCAATTCTCTGGTTTCTATCAAATTTTGAGTAATTTACGTTGACTAGAAGTAGTAATTTACGCTATTTCCGATTTTTCAAAAAAAAAAATGCATGTGAATTTATAAAGTACTAATAATATTCCGCACTATACTATTATACACATATTGTTTGGCGTTCACTTGGTGCGCAATTCTTTTTTTCTACTAGCATTAGTATTAGGTTTAGCATATCTGTAAAGGCAGACGGATGGTAAATAAAAACCTTACCCCCGCAGCTATGTAAACTGGCACAAAGAACCATCCTAAGATCATTAGGATAAAAATAGCCTGAAATAAAAAGTAGGAATTACGAACCAGTCAAAGTCATATTGATATTATGTATAAAAAATCTATAAGCTGAAGACATATAGATATATTTAAACAAAATAATCTGTACATATTTAGATAAAAACAAAGCGAAAAACCAACTCAACTGTTGAACTAACCCTTACCACTACCACTACAACTAACGCTACCACTACAACTAACCCTAACCTAGCGTTCAATAAATGTGAGCGGGTGAATGGATTATTTATTTTGTATTATTTTATTGTGTGCGAATCTGTGCGTGAAAGGTCCACTGGACAGCTGACCACTGAGCACTGACCGCTCGAAAGTCGATCGTCGGTTGTTTTAGTTTTAGACAGTAATGAGTATATTTTAGTTGCCTCGAGGTTTAGGCTGTTTAAAATTAATGTGTGTGCTGTTTCGTGCAATGTCATGTTGAGTATCGCTTGCTTGGTGTCTGCCTTCATTGGGGCCCTAGCGGAGTGTGTTAACTTCAATGTTATCAATATGGATGTTGTATAGGTAGACCAATGGCTTCGGGCTGCTCCTGGTGTAGGAAAGATTGGTTCTACAATGAATTTGGTTTAGGGGTTATCCATAAATGACGTCACACTTTTTTTGGACGATTTTTACCTCCCCCTCCCCTCCGTCACACGTCGTTACAAAAAGCAAGACCCCCCCCCCCCCTCTAAAATGACGTCACACCTCAGCCTACAACCCCCCCCCCCCCTCAAAATTGCAGTCGAATTTTTTTTAAACATCGATATTTTGCCAAAATCTTGTCTAAACTATTACAATTTATTAAAACTGTTATCTAAAACGCGAAATAACGTCTAAAATTCGTTTTCTAACATTGCTTTTTCATAATGCAAAAATGTGACGTCGCAACATCTGACCCCCCCCCCTCCCCCTCATCACACATTGTCACAAAATTACGGACCCCCCTACGAGTGTGACGTCATTTATGGATGACCCCTTACACGTTATTTTAAAGTTGCTAGTTCTTTGTTAGACAGTGGTTAGTTGTGTTTATGAGAATTGCTTTTAGAATTGTAATAGTAGGGATTAGTTTTACTCGAGGCTTTAGACAGATATCTTCAGTAGAAGTTAGTAGTATTTAAACATATGTATATATTGAATCAATTGATGTACATATTTTTCCACGCATTTTTCTTATTTTCTTTTTCTCTTCCCCCCCCCCCCCCCCCTTCCCATGAGGTTGCTTGTGCAACTTGGCTGGGTGTTTTGTTACGTTAAATTGTTTGTGTATATTGTTTTGTATATATTGTTTTGTCCCGTTGAGCTTTGTTTAGTCGTGTTTTGTGTATTCTGTAGTTTTTCATCTTTCTTATTTTGATTGGTTCCATGTAATAAATTTAATTAATTGTTAAAAGTTTTTTTGTTTTTATTTAGGCTAAGGTTAAGGTTATTAACCAGTCGGGTTTAGCCGGACTTGCACTGACCGGACTATAGTTAAATAAGCCTAGAAGGGTAGATTTTAGTTATCCCCCCTAGCAGGGCTTACAAAAAGAGCCTACATTGAGTTCAAAGACGGCTATGCCTATGCCACTTGAGGCGCCTGAACCTGCGAGTCCCACAAAGTGGCCGGACCCGATGTTGCTGGCAAATAAAGAGGCGCCGACCTGCAAGAGAAGGACAAACGTTTGAGAGCATCAAAAACACAACTTGTCACACACAACTTGTCACACACAACTTGTCACACACAACTTGTCACACACAACTTGTCCAGCCAATGACATGTGAATGATTGACCTATCAATTTAAAGTGAATGTTTGATCTACTTAGTAACTTACTGGAATCCAGTGCATGGAGCGTCCAGCCAGAAAATACCCCCCGACAGAGCCTCGATTCTTGCAGGAGGACTGGCGGTAGATAAGAGTAGATGTTAGAGCAATCAATCAAAGTCACGCAGTCATGTCATACAGGTAGTCGTGTCATACAGTCATGTCAAACAGGTAGTCGTGTCATACAGTCATGTCATACAGGTAGTCGTGTCATACAGTCATGTCATACAGTAGTCGTGTCATACAGTCATGTCATACAGGCAGTTGTGTCACAGGGGCGGAACTACAGTGCCGCCAGACCCCGCAATGCGGGGGGGCCCACGCCATTTAGGGGCCCACGGCCGACCCTAATAGTTTTTATTATAGTTAAAAAAAAATCTAATTTTCTTGCAATTTTTGACTTGATGTTTGTTCTGTAAAACGATTACCATAGCTGCGGTTTGATTATCTTTATTCTATAGACGCCATCTCCACGCTCTTGTATATTCTTTTTCCCTTTCTTTTTAAACCACTGTGAAAGCCAAGTCCTCTCTCTTCTACAATTAAACTTAACAAAGATAAGCTAACGTTCAAACCATTTCCATAACTTATTTCCCTTTTTTAAATAGTCAAATTGGGGTGCTCATAAGCTCCTTTTAATAGATGTGTACTAAACAAATTAAAAAGCAATTACTTCTCTTACTAAATATTTTTTCATAAAGTACTTACTAAAGAATGACCTTGTATAAAAAGGAAATGCATTTAAAATTAATAATATAAATACAAAAAAACCCATAAAAATAATCATAACACGAGACACGTGCATTACTTCTACAAAGATTTCATATTTTATATTCTTTTGGCCAGATAGATGTTAAGAGAACCCATAGCAGATAAAATGAAACTGATTTTCTCAAAACACACTAATGCACTTACACACATGACGTTTTGTAGTAATTTGTTTTAATTGAAAAAATAACTTTTTTTTCAAAATTCGAACAGGCCAGCAATGAGTATCCTATGCTCTGTTCGTATTTTCTGTTTGTGTGTATATATATATATATATATATATATATATATATATATATATATATATATATATATATATATATATATACTAGCGTACCCGCCCCCCGCGCGTTGCCGCGGGGATAGAAGAAAGTTTGACGAAATATATTAGAAGGATTTCACCAACGCGTTATCAATTATATGTTCTTAGACGCGTGACCTTCTTTTCTAAAAATGAGTTATTTAAATGTAAACAATGCCTGCGCTTGGATCTTAAATATCAGGACACGGGTTTACCTACACTACCGCATGAAAACCTTGAGTGTACATTAATCACTCACCGAAATAATATGGTAGAACACACTTCGGTGACCGCCCCTGTTTCAGAGACGTAGAGGGGCGCTCTCAGGGCCCCCACCCCCGATTACACTACCGCATAGGCGCGGCGTACGACCCCTGGCTCCTTAAAACTAACAGGCGCCATCGGCCAAATAGCATCCTGTTAATAATGATGCAGATTTCGCCATTCGCTAAAGTGACACAAATGAACAGGATTTTTTTCTTTAACACGTAAAAAAAAATAGTTGACGTGTTTTAAATATCAGTGTGACTGATGCAATATGCTTGCGTTACTACTGGTCTATTATTAGATGCTCAATCTCAATTTCTGACTGGACTGTCCAATAATAGATGCTTATTGCATCATTCGCAAAGTGATGAAAATCTACAGTAGCGTAGGCTCCTCATATTCAAAAAGTTATTTTTTTTATCTTTCGCAAAGGTGACGAAACTGTACAGAAGGATTTCCTCGCGTTACAAAGTTATTTTTAGAAGCTTGTTTTAGTTTTACCGCTGAATATAGTAGTACCCCTTTCTCGCTATGCAGGACGCTCGATTAACGGATGCTAAGTGCCAACATAGTCGCTCTAAAACTCTGGGCGCCAAACCGTGTATTGACGAAAGTTGTACCTTATATGTACCCATAAGAAACTTTAGTTTTCTTTTTCGCAGAAATATTCTCGGGAGTATTCTCATCTACTCCCTAAAGTTTCATGGCACTCGGATGAACCGCATCCGAGTTTTATTTTTTATATACCGTGTATAGAGAAAAAAAATCGCCCTCCCCCCGGAGGGCGCCGCCCTTGCAATATTAAACAATATTTTTTTGCAGAACCCTACCATTGAGTGATCTAATCATCTCCCCCTAAGTTTCATGGTACATGGTTGAACGGTGTGAAACCGAAATAGACTTTAATTTTATAAACCGTAAATAGAGAAAAAAATCGCAGCCTCCCGTGGCGCCGCCCTTGCGAAATTATAAATGATTTTTTACAGAACCCTTTCCTAGAGTTTTATAATGAACTCCCCAAAGTTTCATGCCTATCGGATGAATGGTGTCACAGCGATTCACTTTTATTATTTTTATATACCGTATATAGAGAAAAATCGGACCCTCCCGTGGCGCCGCCCTTGCGAAATTTAAAAAGGATTTTTTTTTTACAGAACCCTTCCCTGAATTGTTCTAATCAACTCCCCCAAAGTCTCATGGCTATCGGATTACGGTGTCACACCAAAATCGACTTTTATTTTTATATACCGTATATAGAGAAAAATCGGACCCTCCCGTGGCGCCGCCCTTGCAAAATTAAAAATGATTTTTTTACAGAACCCTTCCCTAGAGTTTTATAATGAACTCCCCAAAGTTTCATGCCTATCGGATGAACGGTGTCCCTGCAATTCACTTTTATTATTTTTATATACCGTATATTATAGAGAAAAATCGGACCCTCCCGTGGCGCCGCCCTTGCGAAATTAAAAATTATTTTTTTACAGAACCCTTCCCTAGAGTGGTATAATGAACTCCCCAAAGTCTCATGGCTATAGGATGAACGATGCCAAACCAAAATCGACTTTTATTTTTATATACCGTATATAGAAAAAAACAAATCGCGCCCTGTGGGGGCGCCACCCCTGCGAATTTGAAATATTTTTTTTCGCAGAAACCTCCCCAGGTATATTCTCAACAACTTCCCAAAGTTTCACGGCGATGTGATGAGAGGTGTAGTAATGCATAAAGGACAAACACACATACATTGCTTTATATATATATATATATATATATATATATATATATATATATATATATATATATATATATATATATATATATATATATATATATATATATATATATATATATATATATATATATATATATATATATGGGAGGGGGGGCCTAAAAAAAATTTGCGGGGTGGCCATTTTTTTCTAGTTCCGCCACTGTTGTGTCATGCAATGTGATGGCTGAAAAGTCCAAAGTGTCAAGGTCAGTGACTGGTCAAAAGCGCCGTCGATACTTCCTGAATGAGTATATTAATAATAATAATATATATATGTGTGTGTGTGTGTGTGTGCTTTTTAATATTTTTTTCTAATTTATGTATACATGTATGTGTGATTAATTGGTTGAAATTTACAAAAACCGCAAATGATAACAACGTAGTTGGCAGATAACAAGTTAAAGGTCAAATCCGAACCGAGCTATTATGTAACTGTTGATACACAACCGGTGTGACTGAAATGGGATTTGACTGTCAACAAGATGTGATACTTTTTGTAAACAAGTAGACCGTGAGAAGCGGAGTGATACAATGTGTGGACTTGTGACATATTTTCATATTATTCTTGGAACAGTGATCATTCACAAGAAAAGGTTGAACAAAACCTAACAAAGAACGTCTCACGTCTGTCACGATTGTCATTGTCGGCAGTTTAGAAACGAGAAACACAATGACATGACAACAAGATCAAGGAATAATAATCACACTTTATCCACTCAGTGTTATAATATATATAGCTGATCGAGGGAAGTACCACGTAAGTGTTGTGTTGGGACTACCACGTGTGTGTTGGGCCTTCAAAGTCTCTGCTGGTCTAAATAAAACGTGTTATTGGGTAGAGTGAGAATGGAACCGAATATTCGACGAGAAATGTATCCACAGAGATGATGCAGTTGCTCTCCCTTTCTTCACGTTTTAAAAACCTGTCGGCTGGTGACTGAGAGAATCGATTTCTTGCTATCTGACGATACCAAAGTTTCCCGCTGGATCTGGTGTCCCAGCAACACCCTAACGTGGTATCGAACATAGAGATCGTCACAACTCACCGTTTGATCTGACAAGAGTTTGTTTTTATTACACAGAAAAACTTTTTTATAAAGCTTTAGTTCATCCTAAAATCTCCGACAAATTAAAAGGCAGATAAGGGCAGTGGCGTAGCTAGGATTTTCGGGCCCCTATGAAAAAATTATCAGTGCCCCCCCCCCCCCCCTCCCTCCCCCGTAAATATGCCTAGGAGAAACTCTGTTCGTCAGCTGTTAGGCAACAACTGAGGGAAACGACGAAATCAACTGCTTCTTCCGTTGTAGGGTTTTAAATAATATAAATATTCTGTACATTTTATACATCCTAGTTGTTTATTTATGCTATATTATTATGTAGGCCTACAACCTCGTAGTTTTGTAAAAATGCTACAGGCTTATGGTTAATTTGTGTTTGTTTTTCAACGACCCAAACACATGGGGTTACAACACGGGGGCAGAGGTGCGGCAAACAACATTTAGACGTGACACCATGACGAAACATGTAAAATTTAATTAAAAAATTATGTTGTATCCAGCTAAAATAATAAAAGATAAGTCAGAGAGGGGTGACATCCCACCGAAAATGCAAAGCTGTTGGGGACGATAGGGTGGCATCTTTAGTAAACGCGTTAGGGAACACTCGACCTTGCGACGCCACAATCACTTTTTTTTTAAACTGCTCATAATTTATTTAGATCTATTTTTTTCTTATGCTCGAGATCTATTTTAGCTGCTTTGGTATGTTAGATACTTAGGATAGCTACTGTCCCAATGGGCATATCTACAATTTGTTTCATAACAAATTAATAACATCAAAATGAACACATAATGAGATTAAAAAATGCCATCAAAATACATCAAAATCTCCTTCCTGATCACAGTGGAATGTTAAAGAATGTTTATCTGTAGTAAGCATATCCATCCGCGTTGCTGCGATCTAGACCCACATACCAGTGTAATGAAACAATTTTTAAGGGTTTCATCAACGCGTTACCAATGGTGTATTTGTAGTCGTGTGACTTTGTTTTCTAAAATTGAGATAGTTAAAAGGTAAACAACGCCACTGTTATTTTTTTTCGGATCTTTGTTGCGTGGCGCGGGTTTGTCCACACTACCTGTCAGACGCCCTTGGGCGTGCTGTATGAAAGCATTGACTGTAAGTTGATCATTCTCCGTTAATAATGAGGTTGAACACCTTTCAGCGACCGCCTAAATGTGTCGCGGGAGTGACGTGTTCCACTACCATAGGTAGACGGATGCTACCCCTGTTCGGTCTAATCATCGAACGTAGATGCTCACAGGGGGGGAGGGGGGGGGGGGTGCTCCTGTGCTTTGTGTCATCCGGGGTCGCCGAAGCCTGCACCTGTTGCAGTTTGGTCGTTGAATTAAAAGTTCCCCTGCAGGACGCGTAACCAACTGATTGCACACAGATAGTCGCTGGCTATCATGGGGCGACCAACCTTTACTACTGCTGATGCGCTGGAGGACACCTCTTATCGATTTAGTTATTGATTTTAGTAGCCATCCGTATCTTTAGTGAATGGCGCTCATTAAACGTTCATAGGCGCTGTTGAGCTCACGGGAATTCCCAGGGCGCACCAGGTTACGCGACCGACGGGGCACCGGCTGATGCACGGTCAAATTTGACCGATGCGCCGGTCATTCAAATTAACGGACCCCAGGTGCAAAAATAGCCGCTGGGAAACTAAGTGGCAAACAGCACCGCCTTACTGCTGGGGCGCCGCCATCAAAAAATTAAAATTTAATGCTAGAAACCTTCCCCAGAGTTTCTTTCAGGCACGTTTTCAGAAAAATGTCTGGCGAAAAACACTACCTGGATTATCCTCAACAACTTCCCAGATAATCTTGGCGATTGGATGAAACCATATACTTATAGGGTTAGTAGCGCCATATGGGCCCTGTACGACCCCCCCCCCCCCACACACACACTGAATGGCAATGCATATCACTTGCTCATAGTGAGAGGGATGACACGGTCTGATCTCTATCCCTTGCTCATAACTTCTCTCAGAGCAACCATTTTATCTGAGTCTTTTTGTTAAGAGCCATTTTATCGTGAGTCTTTTTGTTAGGAGACACCTCCTGAGCCGGTGATATCCGTAAAGAAAAAATAAAATAAAAATTAAGAGCTTCTAAAGTAAATTGATATAGGTCTTAGAATAATATTATTGATCATAGGCGGGGGGGGGGGGGGGGGGGTACGGACCGCACCAGGTGACACCATTTAGGGGGGTGACACCAAAGCAAAAAATAGAAAAATATATAGAGAAAAACTTGAGGGGGGGGGGTGCAAATCGAAAATTTGAAAGTTTGTCCCCGGGAAGGGTCGCTACGCCTCTGGGGGGTGACACCATTAAGTGCCGCACCGGGTGACACCCGACCTCGCTACGCCACTGTTATTGATTACTAATTTTACTATTCTGGCGAAACATGTCTATGTTTTTATATGAATAAATGTTATTTCATATTTAAAGCTATTTATTTTAAATAACAAATCAACTTTATTTACCTAATCCTAATCAAATGCCGAATATTGAACTAAAAATCTTGTGGCTCTTTAAAAACTGGGAAAGTTTGTAATTTGTAACTTTTGGCTATTGCGTATCAAAAGGTTGCCGACCCCTGGGCTAGGAGAATGACGGGGAGTTAGGTGTGGATTGCTGTTCATGTGTCTATTTGCTTTATGTGGATATGCAAGTGTAGCACTATAGTATAACAAATCATCCAATCTCTGTTCCCAAGTTGGTACATTTAAAAAAGATTTACCGTGGAGGGGTACGGGTGTGTAGCTAGTCAAATATAGTGTTCACATAATCAAATATAGTGTTATAATGATTCTAGATACATAATCAAATATAGTGCTATAATGGTTCTAGATACATTCATTTTTTGATAAATCGGAAATAGCGTAAATTACTACTTCCGGTCAACGGAAATTACTCAAAACTTGACAGAAGGTAGAGAATTAGATTTTGTACTTAAATGTGAAATTTCATTTACCTATCTGAAACAGTACTCAAGTAGTTATAGGCTTTTGAAAAATTTAAAGTAGAAAAAGTTCCACTTCCGGTTATCGGAAATCGCTCAAAAGATGATACGGATCTACGATTTTGATATAATACCTTTATATGAAATTTCATCAACCTAGCTGTAACGGTACTCAAGTTATGGTGTTTACATACACACACACATACACACAGACATACGGACAAGATTGCAAAACTATTTTTTCCGACGCAGGCAGTTGTAAAACGTCGAGATTTGCAAAAATTGAGATTTTTTTTTTTTGCACGATTAGGCCTACAAGACTTTCTTTATACTTCGTATATACGAGAAAGTAAAAATGGCGCAAAGCTCCAACTGATGTCTGCCGAGATTTCTCTTCTCCCCTTCCCCGTGGTGTAATGTAAACCGCCGACGTACAAAATGTATTAAACCACGTACGTTTAATTTAACTTTAGCCATTTCGTAGATTATAAATATAATAATAAAATTATTTAGCGTGAGTTGAATTTATTTTTAAATTACCTCCCTTGGAAAATGACAAAACAGTTTAATTAATTCGTTTTTTCGACCCTATTATTATTAAAATGTATCCACTTTTTCTAGGAATCTAAACGAAAATGATATTTGACATTGATCCATTTAATTATTTTTTTTTTGCAAAGTGCGTGTATTTAATATTTTCTTTACGTTATGCGAACGAGTAAAAACAGTGGCAACTATAAAATAAATTTAAGTCGTTATATAAACACACCCTAGTATATTACTTATAATAAGACAATGCGGTGCACTGAAAAGCACTGCTTGGTGCGATGTTTACTTTAATGGTTCCAAAATCTATAGCGATGACATGAGGAAGGAAGGACTGACACACTAACAGCCCGCTTATATTACAGACTAGCCGCATACCCGTGCTCCGCCACGGTAAATCTTTTAAAAATGTACCAACGTGGGAACAAAACAAAACACAACACAAACACAAAAGAAAACACAAACCCAAAAGAAAAAATAAACCCAAAAGAAAACACAAATCCAAAACACAAACACAAAGAAAACATAAACACAACACAAACACAAAAGAAAACACAATCACAATGTAAACAAACACAAGGCAAATACAAACGCAACACATTAACACAATAGAAAAAACAAACGCAAATAAAAACATAGTGCTCACAGTCTAGCCCGTGGCGCCAAATAGTACCCTGCCCGAGCACCGGCGGACGCGCCTGATTCAGTGAACGACTATAAAAACCCCAGCTTGTCCGCAAACCGAAAGATAGAATAATAATTAGTAAAAACTACGTTTAGTGTATAAAATAAATAAAAGGCAGTATATAAAATATCCGTGTTTTACCCACAATATTGCACTTTATCAATTCATGCATATTTTCTCAATAGTCTAAATTTAAAAAAATTTACAATAGAGTTTCATGACTAAAACCATTGCGCAACTAATGAACGAGATGACGCGTCAATAATAGTGCGGAATTGTTGATTAAAAATTATTCAGTGAATAAAATAAATAAAAGGTTGCCTTTTATCAATCCATGCTAATTATAATATTCTAACAATAATGTCCTCTTACACATCCGCATAATTTGCATTCACATTTTGCTAATTTTATTATTGCAACAATATTTCCTTCTAGGAGGTCCGCAGATTTCGCATTAACATTTTTTTATTAGCGTAAGTTGAATTTATTTTTAAATTACCTCCCTTGGAAAATTACAAAACGGTTTAATTAATTCGTTTTTCGACCCTATTATTATTAAAATGTATCCACTTTTTCGAATGTAAACGAAAATATTTGCGTGTATTTAATTTTTTTTTACGTTATGCAAAAGAGTAAAAACAGTGGCAACTATAAAATAAATTTAAGTCGTTATATCAACAAACCCTACTCTATTACTTATAATAAGACACTGCGATGCAAATAAAAAGTACATGTGTAATGGTTACTTTTTATGGTTCCAAAATCTATAGCGATGAAGGACTGACACTACTCAGCCGCGTATATTATAGATTATGTATCTAGAATCATTATAACACTATATTTTATTATCTATCTAGAATCATTATAACACTATAACTGATTATGTATCGAGAATCATTATAACACTATATTTGATTAAGTATCTAGAATTCTTATAACACTATATTTGACTATTTGTACAAACAACTACTGTAACAAACCATGATCTATATTCCGACTGACAGACATGTGTACTCACCAAAATACCGACCGATATGACGGCCACAAAATAGCCAGCAATCACCACCCAGTCCCCCCAGTGGAGACGATCCTCCGCCATCTCAAGTCAATTCTTTCCTTCAACCACAATTCTTTGCTCCACCACTGGGAATTACATCTTCAATTTTTTCATTCAAAACACAAACTTGGCCAACTGTTTATTGTCAACCTATGTCAACCTATGTCAACCTTTGTCAACCTGTGTCAACCTATGTCAACCTGTGTCAACCTATGTCAACCTATGTCAACCTGTGTCAACCTATGTCAACCCTGGAGCCAATGGTCCAGCTAGTGAGATCAGCGCACATCAAGTTTTTCTGTCCACATGTGTTCAGCTCGACATCCGTGTACAAATAACCTGGAAATTAAAAAAAAAAAAACATTTGACGTGAGGGGAAGGGGCGGATACAACTCCAAAAAACTGCTGAGAAACGAAAGTATGCGGGTGGGGGGGGGGGGGGGGGATGTCAAAACAGTCGCAATAAGTCACCCTAACTGGCCTAAAGATCTTCTATTGATGTTATATATATAGCTGTTTATTTATAGTTGTATCAATATTTGGTTACCACATCTATCGCGATCTTTGCTGCAGAAAAAACTGGTTCTCGGAAAACTGCGCAAACAGAAAACTGCGCAAATACAAACTAAGTATACTAATACACTTGAATCGAGTCATATTTCGTAGAAGTGTTTAAGTTTTATTATGCTACAATGTACATGTGCCCACTCTTTGTTCATGTCTATAAATGCTCAATTCCAGGAAACAAAAATGCCCTTGCTCACTTTTCCGTTGCGCATGTTCAGGTCACCGAAAAAACAGTGTTTCTTCCAGACTTTTTTCTCCGTGGGGGGGGGGGGGGGGGTACTTAAAATTTTCGGGGGGGGGGGGCGGTAGACTTTCTTTGAGGGGGGGGGCGGGACACTGTTAAAAGTATATATTTTCTATATAAATTACATAAATTTCGTTTCGTTCGCGGGGGGGGGGGGGGGGGGGGGGCGGTAGAATTTTTTTCGGGGGGAACTTCGCCCCCCCCCCCCCCGAAGAGATGCCTGTAAGAAACTCTGCCGAAAAACCTACGTCCGTTGGGGAGGGGTGAGGGAGTACAAAAACTACGTCACTATGTGGGGACAGGGGTATAAAAAAAATTGTAGGAAATTAAGGCACATGAAGAAAGTCACAAAAATGTATATGCATGGAATTTGTAAATACTTTTATTTACACATTTTAGATGTGTGCGTAGGTTATATTCATATGGTAATATTTGCAATACGTAAAAATAAATTGCCTTTTAAGTATGTAAGTTTTAATTCCGTTATACATATATCATTAAACTACGTCACTCTGTAGTTCTTACAAATGGACACCATTATGTAAGACTAGCTCCACCATTATGTGAGACTAGCTCCACCATTATGTGAGACTAGCTCCACCATTATGTGAGAGCTCCACCATTATGTGAGACTAGCTCCACCATTATGTGAGACTAGCTCCACCATTATGTGAGACTAGCTCCACCATTATGTGAGACTAGCTCCACCATTATGTGAGACTAGCTCCACCATTATGTGAGAGCTCCACCATTATGTGAGACTAGCTCCACCATTATGTGAGACTAGCTCCACCATTATGTGAGACTAGCTCCACCATTATGTGAGACTAGCTCCACCATTATGTGAGACTAGCTCCACCATTATGTGAGACTAGCTCCACCATTATGTGAGACTAGCTCCACCATTATGTGAGACTAGCTCCACCATTATGTGAGACTAGCTCCACCATTATGTGAGAGCTCCACCATTATGTGAGACTAGCTCCACCATTATGTGAGACTAGCTCCACCATTATGTGAGACTAGCTCCACCATTATGTGAGACTAGCTCCACCATTATGTGAGAGCTCCACCATTATGTGAGACTAGCTCCACCATTATGTGAGACTAGCTCCACCATTATGTGAGACTAGCTCCACCATTATGTATTAGAAACCTTTTTCTCTCTCCAAAACAAAAGAATAAATCCAATACTTCTAGACCCGTCCAGCTACCTATGGGGTACATTCGACTGAACCCCCCCCCCTCCCCGATTAACTGGAGAATTTCTTATCAATGGTTTTTTTTTAAAAAAAAAAACAATAAAAAAGTGCGCAGTTTTTTTTGACAAATGACCTTGAATAGTTTGCTATTATCTGATAAACTAATGTTCTGAGAAATTCTAATCACGTGATGCGGTCGATTTAAGTTTATTAGATAAGAACCTAAACAGTACTTTAATGTATCGGGCTAACTATATCTCCCCCCCCCCCCCCCCCGTACCCACGACATTTGATATCAGTGGAATGACATGAGTTTTCACGACATTGATACTGATTCATAATGTACATCATTCTAAGCTCATTCCCGTAATGCATACCAATCTAAGCTCGTGTTTGCATGTATTAGCCCATTGTCTTTTTAAAAAGGTTTTAAAAATTTTAAAGACGAAATAAATGATGGAAACCATAACAAGAGAGCAAATATGACAGGTCAACTTGCCACATTGGCATTTTCAAGTTTTTCGTTTGGCTTGAAAAGAGTGGCCAGATGTTTTGTAAGGTTGGTACCCGAGCTAGCCGTGACTGGTGACAGGTGAGGTGTACATTTAACCCACATCAGGTGAACATTTCACAACCTACATCAGGTGTACATTTCACAACCTACCTCAGGTGTACATTTAACCCACATCAGGTGTACATTTAACCTACATCAGGTGTACATTTCACAACCTACCTCAGGTGTATATTTAACCTACCTCAGGTGTACACTTAACTTACCTCAGGTGTAAATTTAACAACCTACTTCAGGTGTATATTTAACCTACCTCAGGTGTACATTTAACCTACCTCAGGTGTAAATTTAACAACCTACCTCAGGTGTACATTTTACAACCTACCTCAGGTGTATATTTAACAACCTACCTCAGGTGTACATTTCACAACCTACCTCAGGTGTACATTTAACAACCTACCTCAGGTGTACATTTAACAACCTACCTTAGGTGTACATTTAACCTACCTCAGGTGTACATTTAACAACCTACCTCAGGTGTACATTTAACCTACCTCAGGTGTACATTTAACAACCTACCTCAGGTGTACATTTCACAACCTACCTCAGGTGTAGATTTAACCTACCTCAGGTGTACATTTAACAACCTACCTCAGGTGTACATTTAACAACCTACCTCAGGTATACATTTAACCTACCTCACGTGTACATTTAACAACCTACCTCAGGTGTACATTTAACAACCTACCTCAGGTGTACATTTAACAACCTACCTCAGGTGTAAATTTAACAACCTACCTCAGGTGTACATTTAACCTACCTCAGGTGTACATTTAACCTACCTCAGGTGTAAATTTAACAACCTACCTCAGGTGTACATTTCACAACCTACCTCAGATGTATATTTAACCTACCTCAGGTGTACATTTCACAACCTACCTCAGGTGTATATTTAACCTACCTCAGGTGTACATTTAACCTACCTCAGGTGTAAATTTAACAACCTACCTCAGGTGTACATTTCACAACCTACCTCAGGTGTATATTTAACAACCTACCTCAGGTGTACATTTCACAACCTACCTCAGGTGTACATTTAACAACCTACCTCAGGTGTATATTTAACCTACCTCAGGTGTATATTTAACCTACCTCAGGTGTACATTTAACAACCTACCTCAGGTGTACATTTAACCTACATCAGGTGTACATTTAACAACCTACCTCAGGTGAACATTTCACAACCTACCTCAGGTGTACATTTCACAACCTACCTTCGGTGTATATTTCACAACGTACCTTATCTTACTCGGCAGAACTATATTTTAGAGCAAGTAATTATTCTTTGGCATGTTTACATTATGAAAGGGAGCAAACTCAACCTTTTAATAATATTACGGTTTAATGTTGTTTTTTTTTTAATGGCAGAGAGGGTGCTTAGTGTAAAAGGTCAGTAATTTTTCACGTCCACTACAATTTTGAATTTCAAACCGCCCCGCCCCGTTGTACAGTTTGGACGAACTAACCCCACCCCTACGTCATTGTCCAGAGTAGGTAGTAGTTTTGTCAAAACTTGCAGGTCCGTGGGCTGGAGTCACAATGTGAGTGGACGTCTATAGAAGTCCGTGGGCTGGAGTCACAACCTAGTCATTGATTGAACAGTGAAAATATGTTTGCCAGGCTTGACAGGCAGAGTTATTGCTCCTGATAAGTTTTTGTCTCTGCCACCACACCCAGGGCCAACAATGGGTGAAAGTTTAGTGGAGCAGGCACAGAGCTTGTGATCAGCGACAGTAAATACCGTTTCGATAGGCCAGGCAATGGTGCAGGTAGTGGGACACACCTCTGCATGTACCCCTTTAGTGATCGGAGAAGTGGTAATTTTATTTTCTCCGCCAAGACGTGTCCTGTCCTTTTACTACATGAATTGTCTGGTATGTGAAGTGGACAGTGTAAAGGTTTTATTTTTTTTTCCCCTAGCCTGTATGTATGACAACCCTATCCTGTATGACAACCCTACGGCCAGTAACGTGCAGGTTGTTGGGATACGGGAGCGACGACTGTCTGGATATGTCGGTTGGTGGATTTTGTAGTTCAGTCGCGACGACTGGATATGTCGGAGTTAAGGGCAGGTTAACCCCCCCCCCCTTCCAAAACAAAATACATATTTAAGTCAGAAATGTTGATTTTTCAAAAAAATCAATTGTTTCTGAAACTACACTCAATTTTCGTATAATTATTTTGCCTAATTACGTATTGCTAGTATTTTTATAATTTTTTTAATTAGAGTAATGACGTAATTTACCTATTTTAAGCAACATTTGGCAGCATAAAAATTAAAAACTAACTAAAATAAATGCCGAGTAAGAGGCTCCATATGCATTTTTGTCACTTGGAGGTTTTAAAAATGACGCTTTTTGTATTGTTTTCGCTTTATCTCGTTTTTTTTTCAAATTTAGTATATTTTTCACTATTTAGCATTTTTCTCAAAATGTTACTTTTTAACAAAACCGTACCAGTTAAATCACTATAACTCAAAAACTACTTGAGATATTTAGCTGCAGTTGTGCACACATGTTCACCAAACACTGCTTGTAACGTTGAACTAGTATAATTTTTATATCTTTGAAACTTCCCATTTTATAAAATCAAAAGCTATTTTACCCTAAAAATGACACTTTTTACTTTCTCGTATATACGAAGTATAGAGAAAGTATTGTAATCGTAAAAAAAAAAATCTCGATTTTTACAAATCTCGACGTTTTACACCTCACTGATACGGAAAAACATAATTTTGCAATTGTGTCCGTATGTC